CATGCCCATCACTTGTTCCCGATGCATAGCACATGGTGGCACTCATATATCTCAGGGGTAGCAACTAACGTTCATGAAATGTTTACCTGATGCCAACGTCCATGCTGAACCCAGACCTATAGCATAAGTACCACAGTGCGGGGACCCTTACCAAGGGGAAATGAGCACAGTCACACGTCCAAAGTCACAGCGCCCTGGGGCAGGGGCAGAGTCTCATTCATCTTGGGATCACAAGACCCCAGCACAGAGCCTGGCAGGGGAAAAGGGCAACTATCTGTTCAGCCACTGGGGTCAGTTCTCTCTGAGAGTCAACATGGCGCCAGACCGCCTGGGTTCAGGTGCCAGCAAATCCCAGTGCTTGGTTGCCAATGTGACTTTGGACAAATCCCTTCAGCTCAGCCTCAGCTGCCTCATCTATAAAACAGGGGCAGGAGTGAGGCTCACAGGAGCTGCTCACGTGCAGAGCTCAGAGGGTTTGCTGATTTGTTCTGCCACCGTGACTGTCATTCCTGCCCTTCTGCTGCTGCAGGGTCAGGACGAGGTGCCGACGCCCAGACTCCCCTTCAGGGAACGGCGGCCACAGGACCATTGCTGCGGGGGCTCCCCCAGGTCTCACCTGGACAGTGACTACCAAGATCTTAACCACCTGCAGCACCAGCTTGAAGGGCTTGCGGCCCTTGGCCCGGAACTTGTCACAGGGGCTCATGAAGAAGTACTTGAGCCGGCGGCGCAGGTCCTCTTCCTCCATTGAGGCCGGAGGGGCCGGCGGCGCCCCTGCCGGGGTCCCATACCCGAGGCCGGCGGTCCGGAGGTGCTCGGTGTCTGTGGGGACAGGAGAGAGCAGTGGGGACCGGACCCAGGCAGGCCTACCTCCAAAAGGAAAGCAGATCCCGCATCCCAGCCAGGAAAGAATTCCGGGAGATCTAGGAAAACCTGGACGTCTACATTTTATGGCTGTAGGCAGAGCACTGCTCAGAGGCTGCAGGTTCAAGTTTGGGACTCAAGGGGCCCGAGCTGATAGCTGACCTTTTTTTTTTAAAAATATATTTTATTGATTTTGTACAGAGAGGAAGGGAGAGAGATACAGAGTTAGAAACCGATGAGAGAGAGTCATCGATCAGCTGCCTCTTGCACACCCCCTACTGGGGATATGCCCGCAACCAAGGTACATGCCCTTGACCGGAATCGAACCCGGGACCCTTCAGTCCCCAAGCCGACGCTCTATCCATTGAGCCAAACCGGTCTCAGCTGACAGCTGACCTTGATGCTCACTGGCACAGACGGGGCACCCAGACTCCCTGGGTTCCATTTCTCATCTGCAGAATGTGGCAACAGCATCTCTCACAGAATGGTGAGGATTTGATGCTTACAAAGTCTATCACAGCTGGCGGTGTGATAGAATGTCAGGTGGTAAGGACGCCAGGACATTCCACCATTACTCCTGCTGATTTGTGGAGAGAATGAATTGCTCCCACTGGCTTCTCACAGGGTACTCAAGGCTCCCGGGCACATCCCAACTCCAGACCCCAGGCATGAACATGGGACTCAGCTACATCCTCGTATGTTCTGGAAAAACCCTTCCCACTCATCATGCCCTGATCTGTCCAGCTGACGCTCTCACAGCCACAGGCTTGGAGAAGGAGAATGCCAACAATCAGGGCGAGAGGGACTGCATTTGCTGAAGGCTCACTGTGGGTGGCAAAAGTTATTACAGCACTGCCCGCATGCCAGCTTGTGAGCGAATAGGGCATTTTTATTAAGGCTACCAGCTCCTGGAAATCACACAGTCCAAGGACCAAATCCCAGGCCTGCCTCTTCCTGATAGGAGGACCTTCCTGAGACTCAGTTCCCTCATCTGAAAAGTGGAAAAAGCCTGGGCGCTGGGGCTCAGTGGCTGAGCATCAACCCATGAACTAGGAGTTGGTCTTCCCTTCCCTGTCAGGCACATGCCCGGGTTTTGGTCTCGATCTCCAGGAAGGGGCATGCAGGAGGCAGCCAATGATTCTCTCTCATCACTGATGTTTCTCTCTCCCCCTCTCCCTTCCTTTCTGAAATCAATTTTTTTTAAAGTGGAAATTAAAAAAAAAAAAAAAAAAGTCTCTCCCTGAGGCTAAAGCCCTGAAAAATGCTTCCAGAATGGAGTGAGACAAGGCAGCTCAGCTCGAATCTCGGTAGTGCTTCAGGCGTCCGAGGCTATTCTAAGCACTGCTTGTTCCCCTCAAGCCCGACCAGCCTAAGAGGAAGGCCCACGGTTTCGGCAACTGCTGGGGTCACAGCTGGTCACAGCAGCCCGGAACTGTCCCTGACACCCCACCCCCACCCCCACCCCTACTGGGGGAACCCAGCTTCTTTCCAGAACCTGGCTGCCCCCCCCACCCCGCCTCAGCCTGGCACTGCCACCAAGATGATTGTGGCCGCTGCCAGAACCCGTTCTGCAGGGATGGCCAGCTCCTGACTGGTCCCATCCCTTAGGACTTTGGATGCTTTTGCAGTTAGTCTACAAGAGAGCTGGATGGAAGCCAGAGGCAGGCCCACCTCTCTAGCTGGGATCACGGCTAACCCATCCCAGACCCTGCCGGTGAGACCCCTTTTAGGTGTATCCAGCTAGCTCTAGAAGGAAGATCAACACGAAGGGCCTTCCTCCAGGCTGCCCCGGGAGAGGTGGAGACTGAAGAGTTTGGACGCTGGGTACCCAACGTCTGAACTCAGGAAAGCTGAGCTTCCATGGGTTTGGAGCTCTAAAATGGAGTCGGGCTCAAGAGGGCAACCCCCGAGTCCTCGGCCAGAGTTTAGAGCTGAGCATTCACCTCCTGGCCTGGGGAAGGAAATCCTGGGATGGAGACACCGGCGCCCGCCGAGTTCCAGCAAAGCTGAGCAGTCGCAACCTAGGCTCAGGATGGGAGCCCCGCTGCCGCGCATCCGAGCGGCTGGCGGGGGCCCGCTCGCTGCGGGAACTCTAAGCACAGCCTGGGCCCAGGAAGGGCCGTCGGGAGCCCCGGACTCCGCGTCGGAGAAGCTGGTGCCCACCCGCCTCCCAGGTTCTAGGCGCCCAAATCTCCGCCGCCGAAAGCTGCGAGGTCGGCACGGGAGTTCGGGAAAAGAGAAACAGGGTACTCCGCCGCCCCACGTCGGGGCTGCCCGCCGCCCGCCCGCCCGCCGCCCGCGAGCTCACCTGAGCCACCCCAGCCCGCGGGGGCCGCCATCCCGGGGCGGGAGCGCCGGACCCGGCGGGCGCGGCGGAGCAGCCAGGGCACCAGCGTCCGCCGCTGTCACTGCGGGCTCGCTCCCTCGCGGTGCCGCTTCAAACCCTTGCGCGTCAGCTGACTCGCGCCCCGATCACGTGACCAGGCCGCCCTGGGAGGCACGTGACAGGATGCGACCCCGGGGCCCTGCGCTGGGACCACGCCTACCATAACAGTGTGCGCGCGCACCAACGCTGGTGACTGGCCGGCCGAGGGCGGTCGCGAGGTCCTAGCGCCGAAGGGCGAGCAAGATGCTGGGACACGGGCTGGCTCCGTCGTCCCGCCTGCGTCCTGCCAGCATCTTGACTTCCATGTCCGTGATGTCTGTACATCATTTTAAGGATTGTTTCCCTCCATTCTCCCAGAAATTCCCGATTACTCTCCAGTCCTTCCTCTTCGGCCCCTCTCATGACCTATCTGCAAATCCTATTTCACTTCCTAATTATATCCCAAATAGGCCCACTTATTCTCACTTTTACAGTTCTCAGCCCAGAGGCCCCACCATTCCAGGCCTGGACCACTGCACCAACTTCCTCTCTGATCTTAGACTCCCACTCCTGACCCTTCCATTACATTCTCCATTCACAGCCAGACCTTCTTCAAAGAATAATTCATATCAGTCCTCCCCCAGAACCTGCCAGTGAGATGACAAACTTGGGCAGGGCTGGCCACAAGGTCAGGATTGGCATTTCTCTGAGATGACAAACTACCAGAGCCTTCTGATCCTCTGCCACCTCCTCCCTGAGTTCATCTTTCTTTAAAAAAAAAAAAAAAAAAAAAATTCCATTAACTTCACAGAGGAAGATAGAAACATCAACCTGAGCATGTGCCCTGACTGGGATTTGAACTATGACCTCCTGGTTCATAGGTCGATGCTCAACCATTGAGCAACATTGGCAGGCCCCTAGTTCATCTTTCAATGGCCCGAGTCTCTGGTTAAGAACATGGGGGGAGAGGCAGACAATTCAGGTTAAAATCTAGGCGCTGCCAACAGCCATTTCTTGTCTCCCAGAGTCCCTTAAAGTCCATGTGCCTCGGATTCATCACTTGCCAAACGGGGATGCCCGGCCAGAGCTGCTGCTTCATGGAGCTGTTGCATTAAATGAGAAAATGCAAAAGCATAGCACCGGCTGGGCAGTGCTGATGATTGAATTAGTGGACCTTCCTTGAAAAAGCTGTCCCTGAACCGAATCCGAAGTCTTATATCCATTTAGAATGTACCAGAGCATGTAATTACTTTCTAAATGTTTCCAAATTTGGTATCTGTGAGCTCTCAATCGATGTTTAGTGAATGCATACATGGGCAGCCACCTTTGTCCAGTGGTGTGCCTATGGTGTGGACTTCGAAGGCCAAGGGGTAAGCTAGGGGAGCAGACTCGGCAGGAATGCCCCGTGGCTTCTTGTCAGCCCCCATTACCAGCCCCTAATTTCAGCAGCCAGCAGCCCCACCATCAGCTCAACAGAAGGGAAGGGGTGCTCTCAGACCACCTGCAGGTCAGTCTGCTCCTCACTAAGGTGACCAGGTTTGGGGGAGCAGAGTGGTAACTGCTGGGATGGGGGAAGCTTGGAGGATGTCAGGGGAGCCAGAACATTAGGATTCCAGGTGCATGGCTGGCTCAGGCCACACCTTCCGTCTCCGAGGAGCTGTGCATTAGGGGGGAAAAACCGAAGAACCATGAAGCAGAGCCAGCTGGCAGTGGGAGGATTTTACTAGCTGCACAACACAACTTCTCCAGGCCTCAGAGGCTGGCATCCCTCTCAGCCGTCAGGCCCCAGCAGTGCCCCTCGCTCCTCCGCCCTTTCAGGATCCTGACAGGCAGGGAGGGCTGAGCTGTCGTGGGTGGGAGAGCTGGGGTCAGGGTGGGACTCAGGGCTGGGGTTGGGGTTGGGACTGGGCACAGGATCTGGGTCCGAGCTGTGACCAGACCCGTGGTCAGGGCTGGCCACAAGGTCAGGATTGGCATCATAGCCGGGCTTAGTTTCAGGGGACTTGACAGGATCAGGGGTGAGGGTAGATCCAGAGCCAGGGCCGGAGCTGGGGCCCAGGTCAGAACCAAGCCCGGAGGCAGCCTCAGAACCCGGGAGGGAGGCCTGCCCGGGCCGCACCACGGAAGCAGGGCTAAGGCTCAGGCCGGCGGCAGCAGCCGTGGCTGCCGCGGCCGCAGCCGCCGCAGCCGCGCCCTCGTGCACCCTCTTGTGCTTGGTGAGGCTGGAAGCCTGGCCGAAGGCCTTGCCGCAGAGCTGGCAGCGGTAGGGGCGCTCCCCGGAATGCACGTGCAAGTGCTGCAGCAGCGCGGAGCTCTGCCCGAAGGCCTTGGAGCAGTGGGGGCAGGCGTAGGGCCGCTCGCCCGTGTGGATGCGCAGGTGGTGCTGCAGGTTGGAGCTCTGGCCGAAGGCCTTGCCGCAGTGGGGACAGCGGTAGGGGCGCTCGGCCGTGTGCGTGCGCTGGTGCTGCAGCAGCGCCGAGCTCTGCCCGAAGGCCTTGCCACACTGAGGGCACGGGTAGGGCCGCTCGCCCGTGTGCGTGCGCAGGTGCTTGAGCAGCGCCGAGCCCTGGCCGAAGCCCTTGGCGCACACCGGGCACTTGTGCGGCCGCGGGCCGCCGTGCGTGCGCAGGTGCTGGGCCAGCAGCGAGCCGTGGCCGAAGGCCTTGCCGCACACCGGGCAGTGGTGGGGCTTCTCGCCGCTGTGGCTGCTGCGGTGCTTCAGCAGCGTGGAGCGCCAGCCGAAGGCCTTGCCGCAGGCCGCGCACTGGTAGGGCCGGGCGCCCGTGTGGATGCCCCGGTGCTGGGCCAGCGTGGCGCCGTGGCTGAAGGACTTGCCGCAGTCGGGGCAGCGGTAGGGCTTCTCGCCGCTGTGGGTGCGGCGGTGCTGGCTGAGCCCGGAGCTGCGCCGGAAGGCCCGCCCGCAGTCGGGGCAGGAGAAGGGCCGGGGAGGGCTGGCCGGGGCCGGGATCACCGCCTGGCTGGTGGCCAGGCCTTCCGGGGTGGCGGGACGGCTGGAGGAGAGGGGGTCCAGGTCTGGGGCTTCCGGGGGACTGAGGGTGTCGCTGTTAGGGTCAAGAATCAGGGGCACGGGCCCAATGACGTCTGGATCGAGATCAAAACTTGAAGACATGGGGTCGAGATCTTGGGGATCCGTGGCGCGGGTCCCCGCGATGGAGCTTGGAGTCTCCGCGTCAGGGTCCAGGTCGTCGGAGGCGGGCTCTAGCTCTTCGTAGCCAGGGCCCACGTCTTCGGAGACGGCGCTGAGGTCTTCGGGGTTGGGGTCCAGGTCTTCCGAGTCTGAGCCAAGCTCTTCATAGGCAGGCCCTGGGCCTTTGCGGCCTGGGTTCCTGACCAGGACCGAGCGCCGCATCCCGGCGGTGGACGTGCCAGCTGCTTCCAGGGCAGGATCTGTAGGGCGAGGACAGGGTGGGCAGAGGTAGGTTCTGGGGAGCAGGGGTCTCTTTTGGAGCCCGGGCAGGGATGGGGTAGGTGGCCAAGCTGTGCTGTGCCCCAAACCCACTTCTGAGCACACACAGGGTTCTTGTTCTAGACCGCGGGCAGGCTTGTGACTCGGCCTGGCCAGGGCCAGAGGAGACCCCGGTGGGACAGGAAGGCCCTCCCCTCTTAGCCTCACCCTGGACGGAAGTCATGGGCTCTGGCACTGGAGGTCTCCAGTGCCCAACTCCATGGCTCTGCCCCTCTCTGCACCCTGGACTCCTCTGTGGGAAGCGAGGGTCCTGCAGAGAGAGTCCTAGGTTCCTACGCGGGGAAGAGGGCGGGTGTCTGGGATCCTGAGCCTGCTCCTAAGTCCACGGCCCTAATTCCTGTGCCGTGGTCGGAGGTGGCCTGTTTGGGGGTTTCTGGCAGAGTGGGGGGCCTCTGGCTCAAGAGCTAGGGATAAAGCATCCTGAGCTTAGAAGCCTATAGGGGGGATGAAGAAGGAGGAGGGGGCAGACACCTGGCAGTGGTCTGGGGCCTTGGGGAGTGCTGGGGCGCCCAGCTCACTGCTGAGCCTCACAGTTCCGGAACACCCGTATTCCCGAATGCCGGTTCCTACAGCCAGAGTGGGAGGCGGGGAATAACGGGGGGGGGGGGGGGGGGGGTGGTGGAGAGAGACCATGGGTCCCATGTTGGGTACCTGTTGCCCAACTGGATAGAAGATTCTGAATTGTAACCTCTAGCTGGGGGCTGGGCAGAAATAATACCCGTGGCCCCTCTGGGTGAGGGGGACCCCTGAGCCGAGGAGGAGGGGACTGCAGAGTGCCTGGCGGTGAGGCAGGGGTACGGGCAGTGTGTCGGGACACGGCTGTCTCTTCCTGAGGAAGATCTGAATCCAGGCTGGCGGCGGGGGAAGGGGGTGGAGAAACAGCAGCGGGACCCGCTGGGAGCAGGGGAGCTCAGGCCGACCTGAGGGAGGTGGTGCCTTAAGCTCCCACCCGGGGCTGGTTTTGGGGGAACAAATAGACTTGTTCCTGGGGGACGGGGAACCTCTCCCGGCCACAGCCCACAGCTGGGGGTGGGCAAACAAACGGGGGTGCCGAGTGCCTAGATCACCCCCTCTATCTACCCAGAGCCGCAGGTTGGAAGGTGGGGGGGCCGACGCCTAGGTCCCTCCTGGCTCCTGCGTCGCCCCCCAGGGAAGTGGCGCCCGGCCTGGAGAGTGAGGGACAATGGGGCCTCCGGAGCTCCCGCCCGGGGCGCGGAGAACAATGCGGGCCCTGCGGGGTGTCTGGGCAGAGGGTCCGATCGCCTCTGGAGCAGGGCGTCCTGAGCTCCGGCCACACCGGGCCCATCCTCCCTCCGGAGGCGCCGGCGCGGCCCCCTGGGCGCAGCGGGTCAGGCGCGCCAGGCCGGGGCCCCTCGCTCCCTGCACGACCCTGCGCTCCGGCCTCGGCCTCGGCGGCGCCCCCCGGGCCGCCCCCCGCACGGCCCCGCCCGCCCGCGGGGACACTCACCCGGCGCCCCGCGCCCCTGCCCGGCCCGCCGCTCCCGCCGGCGCCCCGGGCCCGCAGCCAGCGCCCGCCCGCAAGCCCCGCGGCGGCCCCTTCGGCCCGGCGGCCCGCCAGGCGCTCCGGGATCCAGGGGGGCGGCCGGCCGCAGCGGGCGCTGCTGGGACTTGTAGTTCCCGCCCCGCGGCCTCGGCCCCCGCCCCCGCCCGCAGCCTTTGTCCCGACCCGCTGCCCGGCCGCGGGGCCGAGCCCTGTCCGAGCCGCGCCCGCCCGCCCGCCCGCCCGCCCAGCCCCGGCCGCCCTGTCCGGCCGGCCTCCCGCCCAGTCTCTCTACCCCGGCTACCCTGCTCCTGCCCCTGCCCCTTTCTCTATCAAAGTCCCTCTGGATCTATCTCTAGTCCTTTCTCTCTGCGTCTCCATTTCCAACGTTTGCCTCTGTACCTCCCTCTCCCTCCTACCTCTGTCTCCAACTCTGTCTTTGGTCAAAAAGCACCATTTTGTCTCCGTCTCTCAAGACGGGCAATGCACATAAGCATAATCAAGGCTCTGAGAAGCCCTGCAGTTTACAAACTTCTTTATCTTTGCTTAATCCAGCGTCTCCCTGTCAGGCCCAGAGGAAGAGCTGGAGATTCTGTCCCTGAGGGTTTCCCTCTGCCCACCCAGCAGAGGGCCACTCCTGCTGTCACCCCGAGCCGACTCCCCTGGGGTGAGCGTCCTGGGAGAAGCCTGGGCGGAGACTGGGAAGGGCTCCGGGAGCTTTTCCTGGAGACAGGGATCCCTACGAAGAGGGAACGAAAGAGCTGGCGGCTGCAGCTGGGCCACGGTGTTCTTCACCGAACGTAAACAGCAGTCACAGGACATAAACAATGAGCACACAAGGCCACTCTGTGGCCACGTCTGCGCCAAGCCAGAGACAGCACTGCAGCCACAAAAGTGAACGCACAGCCCTCCTGACCCACTGCAATGCCGCTGCTTCTTACCACTGCTTAACCGCCTCTGAGATAAACTCCCCCCTCTGCTCCCTGCCCCCTGCCCGCTCCAAACACCCCTTCTGCTCCCTGCCCCCTGCCCGCTCCGAGGAAGGCTCCTGCGCTCTTCCCTCTGCTCAGAACTGGCAGCACATGTCCTGATCCCATGAGATGCCCGTCTGCCCTCCGCCCTCCGCGCCCCCCCAATATCCCCGCTCTTACGGACGCGCTCCGTGGTCCCCCAGTACGTGGGCTTCGTCGCTGGAGCAAGCTAACCAAGCTTTGAGCACAGGCGTGTTTCTGGTGGCCTTTGCCTGGTGAATTTTGACACCGCCTGACCTTGAGCAAATCAGGACTCTAGGAGCAGTCTCTCCTCCTTCCTGAACCTACCTTCTAGATCTGTGCTTGCCTGTGGCTGGAGGCCTGCTTCTCAGCTCTTTGTGGAAAAGCCTGCAGCAGGTCTGAGACCCGAGACTGCAATTGGATTATGTTGCTGGTTCATCATCCTGCCACCTCCTGGATGACCCTCGTGCAGATCATACTCGTAATGCCAGCTGCTGTTTCTGCCAGCTCATGTCTCCACCAGCACCCGCTTCCCCTCTGTGGGCCCCCCTCCACTTCTCCGATAGACCCCGATCCAACACATCCACCCGTCCCGTGGGACCCACACTTACCAAGGAGCCCCATCCCCTGGCCACAATCGGTAGGTCTGGGATGAGGATGTGCCTTTGAGGGTCTCATTCTTCTGGGGCTATGAGCTTTACACAGAGCCCATTCTGCCTGCAGCCATCTTCCTTAGTGGCCCCGAAGGGCAGTCTGCAGACTGACGCCAATCTGCACCGGGATGCAAAGGCGAGACACAGCGCTGGCCATACTGGTCCGGCTCTTGGCTATCACCACACCTGAAGCCAGAAGCCCTCCTCTATTAGGAGCCAACACATTTCCTGGGTAGTTGAGCTACTTTTACTGAGTTCCTGTCCTTTGACCAATTTAGAAATGGGAAAGTATTAAAGGAAATAAAATGTAAGCTTGGCAGAGCAGAGGATGTGGCTGCCACATCCTCTACAATAATTCTATATAATAAAAGGGCAATATGCAAATCAACCGAACGGCTGAATGACTGGTCACTGTGATGCACACGTTGACCACCAGGGGGCAGACGTTCAATGCAGGAGCTGCCCCCTGGTGGTCAGGGCACTCCCACAGGGGGAGCTCCCCTCAGCCAGAATCTGGCTGCCGGGGAGCAGGACTAAGCAGTCAGTTAGACATCCCAGGAGGGCTCCCGGACTGCAAAGGGTGCAGGCTGGGCTGGGAGACCCCCTCCCCAGTGCATGAATGGGGGCCTCTAGTACATATATATTCACTCTAAAGGGAATAGGGCTTCCAAGGTTTGTACAGTGCACAACCTGCCCAGGTGTACATGGCATCTCTGTAGAGAACAGTCCTCCCCAGGAAACGGAACCTCTGTTATGTGAAAGAAAAATAGCTGATTAAGTTGTTTCTGTTTTGTCTTGGGACTCTACCCACGTGATTTTCCAAGGCTGCGGCTCATGGGCTTCGGAGGAAAATATCAGGGTGCTGTGATATAAACAGAGATTAGCGTCTGCACAGACTTGTGAGGATGCCAGAGCAGAATTCTCTGCCCCAAACGAAGAGGGTTAGTAATGAGGTAGGAGGTAAAATTGGGATTATCAGAGCACTGGGGGTGGGGAGGTTCTCAAACACTGAGCATTCCCTGTCTGCACAGGAAGCGGTCACCTCCCAGGGAAGAATCTATTGCTGTCTTTCCACCTTCCAGACTGTAACCTGGGGTAAGACAGGTCTTAAGGGGACGAGCAGGCTCAGGTCTGTTGCTAGAGACAGAATCCGCAAGGTTGGGCTCCACACGCAAAGATCTTCAGGTGGACCGGGACCCGGATCACTCGGGTGGGTTAGCGGGCTGGGCCATCCAATCTGGGCAGTGAAGGTCGCTGTGCATGTGACTCCAATAGGCCAATCAGAGTGTTCCTAAATTCCAACGTGAGTTGGGAGGGGGCGATGACCCTGTTTCCTTCGAGGCTTTAATTCTAAGGATCTGCAGTACCTGGTATTTGTTTGTTTGTTGCCACCAACTGGGACTCAGGGTTGTTAGGTTGTGAGGAAGAGTCTTGATGTGGATCCAGCATGCCTGATGTTAGACCTAATTCCAGATTTCCTTAACTTTATTTCTAAGTTAATAAAATCCCTTTCCGCTGGAGCTAGCACTGAGTTCTTGTCCCTTGCAACAAAAATGACTTAAAACATTAACACAACTTAGGCACCATTCATGGAGCTCTGCAGCCGAGGGCGGGGCCCTGGTCTAAGCACGGGTCATGCACGTGTTATTTAACCCTGGCACTCCACGAAGGAAGAGCTATTGCCACCCCATCCGACCAATGAGGAGAGCGAGGGTCAGCGTGAAGTCACTTGTTGGAGGACAGAAAGGCGGGTAAAGACAGGTCTGAACTCTGCTGCTCGGTGATGCTTACCACAGACAAAGTTGTTTTCCTTTGTATTCTGTCCTCACCTTATTTCACAAACCCTCCTGGGTTTTGTCGTTCTCAGGAGATTCCTTTTTCAGAGGTGGTAGGATACAGGAGGGAGCGACACAAAGAACATCCAGAATCACCAAGATGCTGTGTCTTTCTGCGCTGACTGAATGTTTCCGGGAAGGCTCCTTTCTTTCTGGGCAACCCATCCTGGGACTGGTCAGTCGTTATTAAACATTGCTTCAAGGTTTGCTGAAATCTGTCTCCTGGTAAGTCCACCCCTTTCTCTCACCTGGAGTCTGGGTTGCTAGAACCAGGCAGAAGCTATAGCTACACGGAACTGAACGCCGAGCAAGCTTCCAGGGCGGGCTGGCAGGCAGGGCCAGAGGGAAGGCCGTCTGGGAGGGGTAGTCTGGTCAAGAAGCAGACTAGCTTCAGCAGGGCCACCCGGTTTTGTCCTGGGAATCACCGTACGAAGAATTTACTGCAATAGGCCTCAACCAGGCAACTCTCCCACAGGGGGCATGTGGCAATATCTGGAGACCGTCTGGCTGTCACAGCTGGTGGGGGAGAGGGAGAGTCTCAGAGCATGGGATCCTTGAAGGTCAGGGAGGAGGCTACACTCCGACAGCAAAGAGTGATCTTCTCCGTTTGTCCATCGCGCAGAGAAAGCAGCTCTGGCTTCTCCTGAGGGAATTCAGCGAGTGCCGTGCGCACCTCCAGCGGAAGCAGGTGGCAGAGGGGTTCTGGTCGCCATGGGCACCAGGCGTGCCGCCAGAGGGCCCTCTGGTCTCTGACAGCTGTCTCCTCTCCTCTCTGTGGCAACGACACAGCCTCTCGGAGCAGCTGCCCAAAGGGAAAGGCTCCTGGCCGGGCTTGGGCTTGGCTTTTAATGGCCCTTGTGCTTGGGATACAGGAGGGAGCGACACAAAGTACATCCAGAATCACCAAGATGCTGTGTGACCATATTCATTATGTCTGGGTTTTTTGTTTTTTTTTTTAATCCTCACCCGAGGATATGTTTATGATTTTAGAGAAAAGGGAGAGAGAGAGAGACATTGAACTCTTGCCTCCCATATGTGCCCCAACCAGGAATCAAACCCAAAACCCAGGTATATGTACTGACCAGTATGGAACCCTCAACTTTTTTTTTTTTTTTAATATATTTTATTGATTTTATACAGAGAGGAAGGGAGAGAGATAGAGAGCTGGAAACATTGATGAGAGAGAGTCATCGATCAGCTGCCTCTTGCACACCCCCTACTGGGGATATGCCCGCAACTAAGGTACATGCCTTTGACCGGAATCGAACCCGGGACCTTTCAGTCCCCAAGCCGACGCTCTAACCATTGAGCCAAACCGGTCCCGGCGAACCCTCAACTTTTTGATGTACAGGCTGACACTCAACCAGCTGAGCCCCCCAGCCAGGGCAGGGGGCTGTGGTCTTTCGGAGATCTGACTGCAGAGTCAGGGAGTCATATTCATCATGTCTATAATAATAAAAGGCTAATATGCTAATTAGACCAGCCATCCTCCTGACATTCCAGACATCCTTCCTGGAGGAGGAGAAGCTGGAAGAGGGAAGCCAGCCTGGTCCCTGGTGCCTGTGGGAAGGAGGAGAAGCTGGAGAAGGAGAGAAGCCAGCCTGGTCCCTGGTGCCTGTGGGAAGCCGTGCCAGCAGCCAGGGGAAGCCTACTCTTGCATGAATTTTCCTGCACTGGGCCTCTTGTGTGTGTGTGTATATATATATATAGTTGATTTCAGAGAGGAAGGAAGAGGGAGAGAGATAGAAACATCCACGATGAAAGAGGACCATTGATTGCACACCCCCAGAAGCAGGGCATGTGCTCTTTACCTGAATCAAACCCGGGACCCTTCAGTCCAGTCCGCAGGCCAATGCTCTAGCCCAGTGGTTCTCAACCTTTTTAATGCTGTGACCCTTTAATACCGTTCCTCATGGTGTAGTGAGCCAAACCAGTGAGGGCCATGTTCATTCTTTCTCAACAGCCTACAGAGGCAGGTCCCGGGGATGGCCACCAAGACCCATCTTATCCCAGATGGAACCAAACCAGCTTCTTGGTGACCTGCCAGACCCCAGACCTTCGAGGTAGGTGCTGTCCCAGGTTCTGGTCCTTTCCATCCTTGCTAAACGGGTTACCATGCGCTTCAGCGTCCCTGTCCCATCCTCCTCTTTCCCACCCTTTCATCTTGTTGCTGGACACCTGCACCTTGACCCCCGCCATGTCCTGGTGGATTCTGTGAGTTCTGACTAGTCACCCATCCAGCCAGTGATCTTCCAGCCTCTGCCCACAGGGAGGAACTGCGGGACCAATATCGGGTTGACCCCTTCATACCCGCTCTGAGCCCTACCCAGTTTTTTAAGGACTGAAACCTCCTCACACCTTCATCTTCTTCACCTTCTCACCTTTACTGTCAGAAGATAAGCTCTCTCCCTCCTCTACCCCAGCCACACATTTCTCATTTATAACATTCACCGAGAGAGCTGCTGTTTACCTCCATTCTACAGATGAACAGACTGAGGCTAGAGGGTTAATTTACTTGCCCTATGCTATAATCTATTCTAGGACACGGAGAAGCCAGGATTTGGACTTTGTCCGTCAGCCACAGAAGCCTGCATTGTCTCTCTCTCTCTCTCTCTCTCTCTCTCTCTCTCTCTCTCAATATATTTTATTGATTTTTTACAGAAAGGAAGGAAGAGAGCTAGAAATGTCGATGAGAGAGAAACATCGACCAACTGCCTCTTGCACACCCCCTGCCAGGGATGTGCCCGCAATCAATGTACATGCCCTTGACCGGAATCGAACCTGGGACCTTTCAGTCCGCAGACCAAAGCTCTACCACTGAGCCAAACCGGTTTCGGCAGAAGCCTGCCTTCTCAATGTCTTGCCATGCTGCCTCTGTTCAACACTGACTCCGTCCACCCCATGTCCTTCATCAATTGTCACGGCAACTGAACATTTTATTTTTATTTTTATTTTTTTTTTTATTTTTTATTTTTTAAATATGTATTTTATTGATTTTTCACAGAGAGGAAGGTAGAGGGATAGAGAGCTAGAAACATCGATGAGAGAGAATCATCGATCAGGTGCCTCTTGCACACCCCCTACTGGGGATGTGCCCGCAACCAAGGTACATGCCCTTGACCGGAATCGAACCTGGGACCTTTCAGTCCGTAGGCCGACGCTCTATCCACTGAGCCAAACCGGTTTCGGCGCAACTGAACATTTTATACCGAGTCTGTCCACACACTGGCAAGGCCTCCCTGCCCAGAGTGGGGCAACCTCCAGAGTCTTCGGAGGGAATCATTCTCTCCTGTCGGCCCCCATCCATCCAAGCATCCTCTTTCCTGTCTGATTGACGGAGAGGGACTGGGTGTTGCCAGGGTGGTGTTTATTGCTGGGTAGGGCACGGGGGGGCCTGAGGCTCAACCTTCCCGCCCCAGCAGCCCGCCAGGTTAGAGGAGCCCAGTGTCAGGTGGCTTTCCTGGAAGTTGGTCAACTCCCGCGTGGGTGGGCCCTGGTGCTTGAAGGTATACTGGTCCTTGTATTGGCTTAAGAAGCAGCGCCATCTACCCAGCGGGGGCTCCACGTGGCTGTGCTTGCACTGTGGAATCAGGGTGGGAGCCTGGCAGGGCAGCCTGGAGGGTGGCTCACTCCCTCCCCTCCCCCCCGGGAGGATCAAAACTTGGTCATGGGCTCTGGGAAGGCGGGAAAAAGGGACCCCAGTTTGGGCTGACCCAGGAGCTGAATGAGAAACTGGGGGAGTGGCTGGAACAACCCCAAGGGCTGGTGTGACTCCAGGTAACCCTGAGCTCACCCTCACTTGTGGTCTAACTGTGGGCTGGACATACGGAGATGTTGCTGAGCTGGCCCTGGCAGGACCCTGGGGATGAGCTGGGATGATCTTGAGTCTGGGCTGACATAGATAACCCTGAGTTTGGGGTGACTCTAAGGGACCCTGAGTGGACCTGACACTGACTCTGAGTCTGAGGTGACAGTATAAGCATCCTGAGATAACGCTACACTGACCTGGGGGTTTCCCTGGTAAGGCAGGTGCCCCTCCCCCTCACCCGCTGTAGCATCTCCTGGGTCATGGAGGCCGGAGCTATTCTGTGTGGTTTCAGCATCTTCTGGTTCGTGGTTAATAAATCTAGTTCTGGAGATTTGAGTGTGGGTGGCTCAACTGAGGAGCTGAGGGGAGAGGCAGACCGGGAGGGCAGGGACGTGGGAGGTCAGGAATGGGTAGGGGTTCCGGGTGCAGCTGGGCCAGTGCTGAGGTTGCATTAGGAGACGGGAAGGAGGGGGGCTGAGGGGGCCGGGGCAGCGGACCGGTGAGGCCAGGCAGGTGGGAACCCAGCCAGAGCCTGGGAGAGGAGAGGGTGGTGCAATGGTGGAGGTGGAGGAGGGGGTGGGTAGCCATGACTACAAGGGGTCGGGTTGTCCAGGGCCAGAGTTGGGGCCTTGGTCAATGGGGTGGAGGTAGCCCTCCTGGGAGTAGAACCAGAATGCGGCCAGAGCTGGGGGGCGGGGGGGGGGGCTTCGGGGAGGGGGTCTCACTCACTGCCCGTGCCCTTCGGCACGTTGCTCGGCAGCAGGTGCAGGTTGGGTGCTGTCTCGGGCCGCTCTGCGCTGGTGGGGTAATAGTCCGAGCCCATGGTGGTCTGGAAGAACTGTCCCAGCAACTTGGACTCCCCTAGGATCACGTGATCCCGCAGCTGCTCAAGAGGAATGTGGCGGCTGTTTGGTTTGGTCACCGGTGGCGGCTGTGGGACCACATGACACTAGGAAGCTCCCATGTCCGGGATGTCCCCAGGCCCGGTCGGAGGGAAGAGGTGTACGACTTTAAGACAGCTCCCACCCTCTCTGGACCCCGCTTGATGGCATTCAGATTGGTCTTCTCTCGCTTCACAGACTGTCCCTGAGGCTGGCGGTGGTTGAGGGGCTGACCCTAGGTCACACAAATAGATTCAGGAGAGCACTGCACACACGGCAAGCTTACTCCTGCCTCAGGGCCTTTGCACATGCCATTTGCTCTACCTGGGAAGCCCTCCCCCCCCCCCATGAGCCCTGCCTCCTCCCCCACTGACCTGGCCGTAGAAGAAGTTCATGGAGGTGGTGAGGCTGCCTGGACCAGGGCGCCAGTCCCCTTCCAGGATGTGTGACTTCGGAGTCTGGTCACTGTGAAGAACGAAAGGCTCTGCCGGGGCAGAGCGGGGCTCAGCAGCTCGGGAGGCCGCCGGCCGGCCCTCAGACTCACCTGGCTGCCGCCCGTAGAAGTGCTCGGCACTGGTGGTCCTGCTGTGGAAGCGGCCGTCTCCAATGCTCCCAGGGTGGATGCAGGCTGCGGCCTGGGCCCTGTCATGCCTGCATGTGAAGGGGCGGGGTTGGAGGAGGGGGGAGGCATCCATCTGTTCTGGGCCCTGGAAACTCCCAGGAAAAGGGATGGGGCAGGGATGGGGGCAGGGTCCCGGTGGGCACGCATGTGGTGCTAATGGTGGGAGGCCTGGCGCACAGGGGGCCTAGTCTGCATGCAATAGGCACAGTGGCATAAAGCTGGCCTTTCGTGGCCTTTGGTGGCACACCCATTGCTGAGAGCCCTGTGCCCTGTCCTGGTGGTGGGCCATGGCCCCTCGGTACCTGTCTGGGGGCAGATCCGGGGGCCTGTAGGCTTGCTTCTGCTCGGAATGCATGGGCCCATAACCAATCTTGACGTCTCCCAGTGACACACTGGAGGAGTCCTGTGAGTGGACAGGGGTGGAAGGCAAGGCCACCGGCCCTACCACTGCCCTTCCCAGCCGCACTGCAGACTTAATTTACCCTCTTACACATCAGGGCAGGTGGGCCCCGCAGGGCCTGGAACTGTCTCTGGTAGGAGGTCCTATTGTCGCATCTGTGGTCCCACCTCCTGTGATCCCACCTGAGGGGGGAGGGGCCCCCTGAGGGGGGCAAGATGACCGGGAGAGAATGGGGTTAGGTCCCTGCAGCCTCAGGCCCACTGTGGCAGTAGGCAATCTGCCTAGTTTAGCCTGAGGGCTGCTTGGCAAACACCAATAGCAATAACAATAGCAATAACAATAACAACTACCAAGGACTGAGCCAGAAATCTAGGGTAAGTGCTTTGCACCTCATTGGGGGTGGAGGGGGGTGCTGGCATTAGCCCCTCCTTCACTCCACAGCCTCTGGGAGGCTTAGAAATCACAGGAATGCAGCCCTGGCCCTGTGTGTGCGTGGGCTGTGGGCTGGGCATGGCACCAAACGGCTGCAGGTTCATTCCCGGTCAGGACACAGGGCACTGCTGGGCTTCAGGCTCCATCCCTGGTGGGGGTGGGGGTGCAGGGTGTGGGAGGGTGGTGGTGCGGAGGGGAGGGGGCGCATGTGCAAGAGGCGGCAGAATGATGTTTGGTACTCACATCAATGTTTCTCTTTCTCTCCCTCTCCCTTTCTCTTTTTTTAAAAAAAAAATCAATAAAAATTTTAAACGGAGGAGGAGAAGGAGAAGAGGAGGAGGAGGAGGAAAAGAAATCACAGAAATTCAGAACCAGAACTGAGTCAGATCCAGGTCTGACAATCCCTGGACCCATGCGCTCCTCGCTGACCCAGGTTGAAGGGGACTCTGACTATCGATCTCCACCAGCTGGGCCCCTAGAGCTGTGGTCGGCAAACTGCGGCTCGCGAGCCACATGCGGCTCTTTGGCCCCTTGAGTGTGACTCTTCCACAAAATACCACGGGACTGGCGCCCTGGTCCAGGCAGCCTCACCACCTCCATGAACTTCTTCTATGGCCAGGTCAGTGGGGGAGGAGGCAGGGCTCATGGGGGGGGGGAGAGGAGCGGGGAGGGCTTCCCAGGTAAAGCAAATGGCATGTGCAAAGGCCCTGAGGCCTGGGTGAATCTATTTTGAAGAAGTGGGGTTAGAGGAAGTTTAAGTTTTAAAAATTTGGCTCTTAAAAGAAATGCCAATCATTGTACTATTGATATTTGGCTCTGTTGACTAACGAGTTTGCCGACCACTGCCCTGGACTAAGAATTGGAAAACGGCGAACGACGGCTGCTCTTTGGGGAGCGCTCACTCTCTGCCAGGGGCACCCCGCACTGGGGGCTCTGCCGGTGCACCCTTGTTAAGGCCGAGAGGTCAACGGTTCAGGTGCTCAAGTCCTGAGGCAGCAGCGCCGGGGTGGGCGAGGGTCACTGACCCCAGACACATTCAGCTCTCCTGCCCCGGCACAGCCCCAATGGGATCCAGGATGGGTGCCCAGAGTGAGGGTCCGGGGCTGGATAATCAGTGCGGGTGGCTGTCCTGTGCACGGGAGGGTGCTGAGCAGCACCCCCTACCCCGGTTGTGACAACCAAGCCGATCTCCAGCCATTGCCAAGTGCCCCCTGGGGGCGGGCGCAGCGTCCCGCCCGCTTCGCGATCCTCTGGGTGGCGCTCACCGAGGTGGTGGCAGGACGCGCGGGGCTGCGGGCACGCGTCGCAGGGCGGGAAGAGCGCCTGGTACGTGGTGGGCGGGATGCCCAGCTTGGCCCTGTCGCCGAACGGCACCGAGTCGCGGTGGAAGATGAGGCGCGCGCCGCGGGCCTGCTGGCTGTGGCGCGCGGGCAGCTGCGGCCAGCGGAAGTCGGCGCGCGCGGTGGAGAGCGGGGCGCCCCCGCGCGGGTCGGCGTGCAGGTGCAGGTGGCTGGCCTGCATGGCCAGCGTGCGCTCCCGCTCCAGCTCCCGCGACTGCGTGGCGTACGGCGCGAACGCCGCGTGCGACTCGGACACGCGCTCCTCGCCGGCCCAGCGCGCGTCCCGCTGGAAGAGGGTGGCCCGGGGCGGCGGCGCGCTGGGCGGCTCGGGGGCGGCGGGGCCGTGGGGCCGGAAGTCCCGCTGCGCCGTGGACCGCTGGCCGCTCATCTGCAGCCGCGCGTCCGGCCCCAGCGCGAAGTGCGAGGCCTTGAGCAGCTCCGGCCCCACCACCGGGCGCTGCCGCTGGGCCCCCGCGGCCATGGCCGGGCGCCGCGGCACCTGCGGGAGGGGCGCGGGCTGAGCGGGGTGCCCGCCCGCGGGGGGGGGCTGAGCGGGGTGCCCGCCAGAGGGGGGGGCTGAGCGGGGTGCGGGGCGCGGGCTGAGCGGGGTGCCCGCCCAAGGGGGGGGTGAGCGGGGTGCCCGCCCGCGGGGGGGGCTGAGCGGGGTGCCCGCCCGAGGGGGGGGTGAGCGGGGTGCCCGCCCGAGGGGGGGGGGCTGAGCGGGGTGCCCACCCGAGGGGAGGGGTGAGCGGGGTGCCCGCCCGAGGGGGGGGCTGAGCGGGGTGCCCACCCGAGGGGAGGGGTGAGCGGGGTGCCCGCCCGAGGGGGGGGCTGAGCGGGGTGCCCACCCGAGGGGAGGGGTGAGCGGGGTGCCCGCCCGAGGGGGGGGCTGAGCGGGGTGCCCGCCCAAGGGGGGGGGCGGGCTGAGCGGGGAGCTCAGTTCACACAGCAGACAAGCCCTGGCTGGTTTGCTCAGTGGATAGAGCCCCGGCCCAGGTTCCATTCCAGCCAAGGGCACAGGCCTGGGTTTCGGGCTCCATCCCTGGTAGGGGGCGTGCAGGAGGCAGCCGATCAATGAATCGCTCTCTCATTGATGTTTCTCTCACTTCCTCTCTGAAATCGATTAAAAAAAATCTCTATCTATCTATCTATCTATCTAATTTTTAAAAAGGCCCAGAGGAGTTGACATGGGCAGGGAGGTGACAGACCATAACATCACATGACAATATTGTAATAGAATGATGCTCTGTAAGCTTATTACACATCACAGTTATAACACAAACTAGTAATTGTAAATAAATTATTATGTATAATATAATAATATGCATTGCAATGTAAGTGGAAGGTGATCAGTGCTGGGGAAACTCAAGTCACACAGAAGAATGGGGTTCAGGATGAAGGATGGGGTTCGGGATGGAAGGATGGGGTTTGGGGGTTCAGGGGGAGGATGGGGTTCAGGGTGAAAGGATCGGGTTCAGGGTGAGAGAATGGGGTTCAGGGTGAAGAATGGGGTTCAGGGTGAAGAATGGGGTTCAGGATGGAAGGATGGGGTTTGGGGGTTCAGGGGGAGGATGGGGTTCAGGGGGAGGATGGGGTTCAGGGTGGGAGGATGGGGTTCAGGGGGGAGGATGGGGTTCAGGGTGGAAGGATGGGGTTTAGGATAAAAGGATGGGGGTTTGGGGGTTTAGGGGGGAAGAGAGGGGTTCAGGGTGGGAGGATGGGGTTAAGGATGGGGGTTCAGGGGGGAGGATGGGGTTCAGGGTAGAAGGATGGGGTTCAGGGTGGGAGAATGGGGTTAAGGATGGGGGTTCAGGGTGGGAGGATGGGGTTCAGGGTGGAGGATGGGGTTCAGGGTGGGAGAATGGGGTTAAGGATGGGGGTTCAGGGTGGGAGGATGGGGTTCAGGGTGGAGGATAGGGGTTTGGGGGGGAGGCTGCGGATGTAAAAAGGAAGGCATCCCTGAGGTGACAGGTGAGCAAAGGCCTGAAGGAGGTGGGAGGGGCCTCTGGCGCCTGGAGGGCAGCACTCCTGGCAGGTGACAGCAGTGTCAGCAGGGGTCAGAGGTGTCAGCAGGGGTCAGAGGTGTCAGCAGGGGTCAGCAGTGGTCAGAGGTGTCAGCAGGGGTCAGAGGTGTCAGCAGGGGTCAGAGGGGTTAGCAGGGGTCAGCAGGGGTCAGCAGGGGTCAGAGGAGTCAGAGGTGTGGAGGCCCGGGGAGCAGGGAGAGCCGAGGATTGACCTCGCGCTCTGCAGTGTCTGTCTGAGGCGTCCTCTCCCCTCGCTCCAGTCCGTGCCAGGCCTGGGCTCGCCCCTCCATGTCCCTGCCGTCCCCTCCCCGGTGGCCCTGCCTCTGCAGCTGCCTGACTGTTCCCTGGCCCCTTCCTGTCCGCAGACGCCTCGCACCCAGGTCTCTGACCTGCAGCTCCGGCTCCCAGGCTCCTGTTTCGTCGCTGGGACTTCCTTCCTCAGAGCGAGGCGTCTCTCCCGCGCCCGCCCCCTGCCCCGCGGAGACCAGGCCCGGGGCCAGCAGGCCTCCCGCTCAGGCCGCCTCCTCCAGGAAGCCCACCCAGCCCGCCTCCGCCCACCTCCTCCTGGCGGCCTCTCAGGAAAACCTGCATCAGGCCTCTCACCGAGTCACAGGGCTAGTGTCTCAGCTGTGAGTTTTTGTTTTTTGTTTTAATCATTTTGCCACCTAAATAGGTGAGCGTGAAGAAGGTGTGGGGTGGTTTACGGAAGAATCTGACCATTAAAGTGATTAGCTGAGCCGCCTTGCCATGCGTGGCTGGGCTCCTGAGCGCTTCGGCGCCCTCATCGGGGGTGGAGAAGGCGGGCACCTACCTCGAGGGGCGGCATGGGGGCTAAGGAGCCTCAGACCATACACGTGGCACGGCTGACCCTCTGTCCCCGCTCCCAGAGGACCCTCCAGGCTCCTCCCAAGACCGCATTCAGGGTGCTCCGGCCCCTCCATTGTGACTCCGAGAGCTCCCCTGACAACGACACCGCTGTCACAATGGCCCCCAGCAACTCGGGGGCAAGACCCCTTCCCTGCCTCCAGGGCCTCAGGGAGCAAGACTGGAGGGTCCCGGAGTCTGCTTTGTCCCCTGGAAGGTGGAGCTGGGATGGCAGCCACTCAGAAAGCAGCAGGGGACCCACACAAGTGGCTGCGGGGTCTCCTCAGTGTCCGAGCTCTCCTCTCCACCTGCTTCCAAGTCCCCCTGGCCAGCTGGGAAATCTCAGTCATTCCCGCCCACTGTCCCTCCAGGGCCCTCTGACAAAACGGCACCCCAGCACGCCAGGCCCACCCCTCCCACGCCCACAGCCAGAGGAACACGCGTGCGGTTGGACAAACCCGGGCTTGGGACTCACGGCAGCTGGGCAGAGCACACGCCAGGGGAGCTGTGGGCGTCTCAGGAGGGTGTGAAGGGACGTATCAGACGTGGACTTGTCTCAGGTGCTTCCGGGGAGGTTGAATGAAGGGGGCTTTAGCCTGGCCGGGGTTGCTCAGTGGATAGAGCATCAGCCTGCCATACCCCTTCCTGGTGGCTCTGCCTCTGCAATTATCCTGGGTCCTGACTATTCCCTGACAAAAAAGTCCCGGGTTTGATTCCGGTCAAAGGCTCGCACCTAGATTGCAGGTTTGGTCTCCAGCCCCGGTCAGGACACGAGTGGGAGGCAGCCAATCGCTGTGTCTCACATCGATGTTTCTCTCTGTCTCTCCCCCCTCCCTTACACTCTCTCTAAAAATCAATGGCTCAGTGGTGGAGAGCTGGCCTGTGAACCAAGAGGGCACAGTTTGAAGGCTGTGGGCTCGATCCCCTAGGAGGCAGACGATCAATGATTCTCTCTCACATTGATGTTTCTATCTCCCTCTCCCTTCCTCTCTGAAATCAATAAAAATAAAAACGAGGGAAAGAAAGAAAGAAAAAATCTAAGAGGATTAGAAAATTAAAAGCTTTGATATAAATATTTTTATTTTTATTTTAAAAATAATAATTATTGAAAGTATTACATCTGTCCCCTTTTGTTCCCCATTGAGTCCCTCCAGCCAGCCCGCCCCCTCCCCCAGACCTCAGCGCCCCATGGTCTGTGCCCTGGCCACGCACAGATGCACACAGGTCCTGGGTTGATTACCTCTCACCCACCCTCCACTGCTTTCCGTCCAAGAGATAAAATATATATATATATATATATATTTTTTTTTTTTTTGGATAAAAAATATTTTTAAAAATCAATGAAAATCCGGCTAAGGATTAGCAAGAAGAAAAGGAGAGGAAAAGGAGAAGTGGGCTTTTTCTGTATCACAGGCGTTCGCTGGTCAGACGTTTGACTTTCTGTTTTTAGAAGGTCTGACCAATAAGAAAGTACATGACAGGAAAGAGGATGCGGAATTAGTGGGGTTTTTAGTTTTAATTTTTAATTGGTTTCAGAGAGGAAGGGAGAGGGAGAGAGAGAAACATCAATGATGAAGGAGAATAATGGTTGGCTGCCTCCCCAGCATGCCCCCTGGCCAGGAATCGGACTGTCATCTCCTGGCTTATCGGTTTGACCCGCACCCCCTGAGCCATGCGGGCCGGTGGGAGGGCGTGTGTGAGGGGGACAGAGCGTTAGTTTGGGGTGACAGCCAAGCTCTGGAGGTGGGCGGCAGTGTGGATGCTCGTCATGCCACTGACTTGGACGCTGACAGATGAGTAAGACGGCAATCGCATGTTGAATGCATAGTTAACCACAATAACGAATCTGTAAAAGGAAAGAAGACAAACATGAAATAAAGATATAAACGTAGTAAACCCGACTGAGTTCACGATACCCCCGATCACCTACTGGATGGGTTCTCTTTTTGAGATACAGTTGACATCCAACATACGGAAGTGTAAGGTTTAGAGCCCGTTGAACCGAATCTCTCGCATTGCGTCATGAGTACCTTGTAGCTGACTATGTCACATCGCTATGATTCTTCTGGCCTGGGAACAAGGTCTAGTCTCTGAACCGGTCTCCTGTTCCGGATACAGTTCTGCTGTCCCAGCTCCTGCGCGGAGTGAGGAGCACTGGGGTCCAGGACTCGCTCCCGAGGGGTCCCGTTTCACTGTCTGAGCTGATGGTGGCATCCACTGCGCTGAGGTCCCCGCTGCTCCCCGCCGCGCCCCACCAGGGCGTCGGTGCAGCTGGCGGGCCAGCCGAGTCCCCGCCGGCGGGAAGGCAGGTCCCCGAACTGCATCCCGGTGCGGCAGCAAGCGAGGGAGAAGGGACTATTATTGACCTTAATTTTTACCCCGCAGGCCGAGGAGCGAAGCAGTCAGGCTGGGATTGGTCGCAGGCTGGCCCGGAGCAGCGTCTGGCCGCTGTTGCTCGTGGGCGTTGCTCACGTTCGCCAGTCGGACAGGACTGAGGCCCTTCCTTTGTGCTGCCCACCCTGGCCCCTGCGTGGCCCTGTCTGACGGTGGCAGGAAAGCAAGCCGGGGCCTTGCTGTGACTGCCAGGCCGGCCCTCAGCAACGCCAAGGTCAGCGGGAACAGCAGGGAACAGCTCCTCTCTCTTCCTCAAAGGTCAAGCTCAGCCCCAGCCACATGGTGGGGGATGCTGGGAGGCTGGGCAGGGTCTGCAAAGGTCGAGGCTGCGCCCTTGCCTGCTCAGGGCCAGGCACACGGGCTGTTACAAAGTGGCCGGGACACCACAGGCTCAGGGGAAGGGCCCGTGGCTCAGGCAGACTCTGCAGCCCTAGGCCCTCTCCTCTGCAGGCCCCGAGCTTGGCTCAGATTTCTTTCTGGGAAGGAACAGTGACTCCAGTTGGGGGCCGGGGGCCACACCACCCCCTGCACCCCAGCCTTAAGCAAGGAGGGCTGGCATTGGGCATGGGGATGAAAGAGAGTCTCGGGGTGCTGTGGGCAGGCAGGCCTGGGCAGCAGGGGCTGGGGTCCAGGTGAGAGGTGGGGTTCCTTGTGGAGGGGGCTGTGGGCGGGGAAGGATCGGTGGGCTCGGGATATTTGGTGACGGTTGGGACGGGGGTGGAGGTGTGTGGAGGGAAAGAGGAAGCGTGGCGTCCCAGTCCCTGTGGCCGGGTGGCCGCGGCAGGCGGGGTGGGACGTGGAGAACGAGATGTGGGGTGACGCTGTGGTCAGTGTGGGACTTGCTGGGGTGAGGGGCTTGTGGGGTGCACAGGGACACGTCCCTGTGGCAGCTGGAGGCTGGTCAGGATGGGGGAGGGGAGAGGCAGTGAAGAGGAGGCCAGGCGAGTCGTGGGGGTGGACAGGCCCCCAGGACAGCGGGCTCAGCATGAGCAAAGGGAGTTGGGACAGGCAGCTGGGCCCTGGGTTGGTGCCATAGCTGCGACCAAGACGACAAAAATCCCTGCCCTGGTGCAGTTCGCACTCCGTTGAGACGAGACAAGTAAGTAGCCAACCAGCTAATGCAACAAGACATACCGGTGCACTCGATAGTGTCAGAAGCCAAGGAGAAAAATCAGACGCAGGAGACGAGGTGGGAAGGACGGGGAGGTCCCAGGAGAAATGATGCTTGAGTAACCTTGAGGAGGAGGGAGGGGCCCCGCGGGTGTCTGGAGGCGAGCATTCCACACAGAGGGAACGGCCAGTGCAAAGGGCCTGAGGCGGGGTGTGCTGCAGCTTTAAGGAACAGGAAGCAGGCAGTGGTTGGAAAGGAGCCAGAGAGGCAAAAGGAGTAATGGGAGTTGAAATCAAGAGGAAATATTTTGCAAAAGGCAATCAGTCGGTATCATTCGTCATTAGGAAAAGGCAAAAACAAAATTACAGTGAAATGCCACTTCCCATCCAGTAGAAGGACTACAATAACTTTGAAAAGCAAAACAAAAGTGCTGGCAAGAATGCGGAGAATTTTGTGCATCATTGGTGGTAAAATGGTACAGCCACTGTGGAAAACAGTGTTTTAACTTCTCAAAAAGTCAGCCAAAGCCTTAGCTCCATGGTCAGCAAACTGCGGCTCGTGAGCCACATGCGGCTCTCCCACAAAATACCACGGTCTGGGCGAGTCTATTTTGAAGAAGTGGGGTTAGAAGAAGTTTAAGTTTAAAAAATTTGGCTCTCAAAAGAAATTTCAATCTTTGTACTGTTGATATTTGGCTCTGTTGACCAATGTGTTTGCCGACCACTGTGACCTAGCTGGTTTGGCTCAATGGATGGATCAAGCCTGTGGACTGAAGGGCCCCGGGTTTGATTCTGGTCAACCGCCCATGCCCAGATTGTGGGTTCAGTCCCCAGTGGGGGGCGTGCAGGAGGCAGCCCATCAATGATTCCCTCTTATCATTGATGTTTCTCTTCCCTCTCCCTTTCTTTCCGAGATCAATAAAAATACATTAAAGAAAAAGTCAACCATAGAATTACCATATGACCTAGCAATTCCACTCTTAGGTCTCTACCCCACAGTACCGAAAGCAGGGACTTGAACAAGTACATGCACACGCGTCACCACAGCCAGGAAGTGGAAACAGCCTCGATGTCCATCAGCTCATCAACAGATAACAAAATATCGCCCATCCGTCTGGTGGAATGTTATTGGAAAGGAATGAAGTGCGGACATAAACCCCAGTGTGGACGAACCTCAGAAATACTATGCTGAGGGAGCGAAGGCAGACCCGACGGTCACATGCTGTGATTTATCACACCAAACGCCAGGACAGGAGTCTCCAGAGACAGAGGCAGATGCCGGTCGCCAGGCGGGCGCGGGGAGTGAGGGCTGCTGAGCGACACCATGTCCTTTCAGGGTATTAGGAAGGAGTGCTGTTTACGGGCCCTGAAATGTGCTAAATGCCCTTGAATTGTACTTTTTAAAATGGACACTTTTATTACAATAAAAAGTAAACAGGCTGTGCTAACTTTTTGAAAACAAAAATAAAAGGATTCGACTTGCTGGTGAGACATGCATGCATATTGCACAAAATTCAAAGGCTCTGAAGTGGTACAAAGTGACAGTTTAGCATCATCGCCTCTTCCCAGCTCGTAACCTCGCAGCCACCCGGTTCGGATTCTTGCTGCGCTCTGAGCGAACCTGCGCTTTGTAACTTCAGCAGAAAACGCAGGGAGGGCGACACAGGCAGGAAAGCGCCTGAGTCCGAGCTACCCGGTTTGGCGATTTTGCTTGAAGTAGTGGTTCCCTGTGGCAGGGGAGGCTGGTTTCACTGTGTGTGTGTGAGGGGTGGGGGGTGGGGTGGGGGGGAGGAGCTGCGTGGGCGTCACGCGCGCGGCCGCCGGCAGGGGGCGCAGGGCCCGCAGCAAACGCAGTCGGTCAAAGGGCCAGGTCGGTGGCTCAGTGGTTAGAGCGGCGATCGCGGGTTTGATTCCCGGTCAAGGGCGCTACCTGGTTGCAGGTTCACCCCGCCCCCGGAGGCAGCCAATCCACGCCTCTCTCGGTCTCTGCCTCCTCCCTCCCCGCCACTCGCTCTAAAGGGGTGAAAGGTGAGGACTAACGGGAAGCCGGTTCCGGGACGAAGGCTCGGCGCCTGCGCAGAGGCCCGGGCTGGAGGGTTGCCATGGCGGCGCTGAGCGGCCTGGCGTCGGCGCTGGAGTCGTACCGCGGCCGCGACCGCCTGGTGAGGCCGGGACCTCGGACCCGGGGCCGGGCCCGGGCGCCTGGGGTCGCCGGCCGGGGCTCGGCCCGCGGCCTGTGGGCGGCGCTCGCTGGGCCCGCGCCGGGGAGGGAGCGGCGGGGCCCGCGGGGCGCGGGGAGGCGGGGCGCTGGGTCCGTGCGCTCTGGCCCCGGCCCCGCAGGGAAACCCGGGTTAGGGTTTGGGGGCGGCGTGGACACATCCGCCCCGGCTGGCATCGGGGTGACCCCCCCCCCCCACACACACACACCCCAGTCCCTGCGGCTCAGCTCCACCTGCTGTCCTGCCCGGGTGTGTGTGTGTGTGTGTGTGTGTGTGTGTGTGAGAAAGAGAGAGAGAGAGAGAGACTAGGGCTCACAGGGTGTAAGCCAACGGGGAAAGCAGGTGAAGTCAGGAGAGAAGGGGGGCGAAGCTGACCCAGGTCACAGCGCCCTGAATCCTTCTCACTGAAATAACGTATGCAGATGCCCTTTGTCCACCAGGCGGAGGCTACGGCCCATCCCATCTCCCAGCCAAGCCCCGGCCCCTCTCTCCCAGCCCCAGCCCCCCTCTCCCAACCCCGGACCCCCTCTCCCAGCCCCGGCCCCCTCTCCCAGCCCAGCCCGGGTCCCCCTCTCCCAGCCCCGGCCCCCCTCTCCCAGCCCCGGACCCCCTCTCCCAGCCCCGGTCCCCCCTCTCCCAGCCCCGGACCCCCTCTCCCAGCCTGGGTCCCCCTCTCCCAGCCCGGGCCCCTCTCTCCCAGCCCCGGCCCCCCTCTCCCAGCCCCGGCCCCCCTCTCCCAGCCCCGGTCCCCCCTCTCCCAGCCCCGGACCCCCTCTCCCAGCCCGGGTCCCCCTCTCCCAGCTCCGGTCCCCATCTCCCAGCCCCGGTCCCCCTCTCCCAGCCCGGGTCCCCCTCTCCCAGCCCCGGACCCCCTCTCCCAGCCTCGGCCCCCCTCTCCCAGCCCCGGCCCCCCTCTCCCAGCCCCGGCCCCCCTCTCCCAACCCCGGCCCCCCTCTCCCAGCCCCGGCCCCCTCTCCCAGCCCCGGCCCCCCTCTCCCAGCTCCGGTCCCCCTTTCCCACGGGTGGGCCTGTGCATTTCTGCCTAGTCCTTTGCCGGCGGGAAAGGGAGGCCCCGGAGGTGGGAAATGGGGTTCCCTTTCCTGTCCCCATCACCCTGTCTCCAGCGCCAGCACGTGGCCTCTGGACCACGAGGTCCTGGCTTCCCACCTGTCCCGCATGATTCTTCTTACGCTTCCAGCCTTTACCGTCACCTCGCGGGTGCCCTCCCACCTGCTCCCGCCCGGGCAGGCGGCTGACTCCTGTCTGCTCCCGCAGATCCGGACGCTGGGGTACTGCTGCCAGCTGGTTGGCGGGGTCTTGGTGGGACAAGGCCCGGCCCGGGCAGACGTGGGGGCGCGCCTGCTGGCCGTGTCCTCCCAGCTCAGCGGCTGTCGGACCACCCTGCGCCTCTTCGACGACGCAGCCATGCTCCTGTACACGCGGCAGTACGGCCTGGGGGCGGAGGTGAGGGTGCGGCCGGGCTTCGCTTTCTCCAATTTTACTTCCTTTTCCCGATGATAGGAGGTTCTCATCTGGATAAATGTGAAAAGCAGCGAACACAGCCACACAGTCCTCGCAGCTGTGGAATGTAGGAGTCTCCTTCCTTTCCCTCCTCAGCGCCTGCGTCTCTTTCCTCCTGAGATCTGTACCCGACAGGCAAATACGCAGGTTTCCATTTTTGTTTATTAGTTAATCCTCATCCGAGGATATTTTTTTCCATTGAGTTATAGAGAGAGTGGGAGGGAGGGCGAGGACAGAGAGAAACACCGGTATGAGAGAGACACATCGATTGGTTGCCTCCCGCACACACCCAACCAGGGCTGGGGATCGAACCTGCAACCGAAGTACATGCCCTTAGACTGGAATCGAATCCGGGACCCTTTAGTCTGAGGGCCGATGCTCTAGCCGCTGAGCCAGACCAGCGAGGGTGGCAATACAGCCGTGTGCCTGGCTCTTTTCACGTAGCAGTTCACCGTGGAGGGCACTCCCTTTTCGTGGCCGGAACCAGCCCTTGCTGACGGGCATGCAGCTTCTTTCTGTTCAGCTGGGTTAGCAGCACTGCGTCACCCCACACGATGCCAGCTCTGCACTCCTGACCAGGGAGAACCTGCCCCCCACCCCCGGGCCCAGGAAGCCCCCCTGGGGTACCTGGGGTGAGGTTAGGAGCTCAGGGCTGGAGGGCAGGGGTACAGGGCAGCACAGAGCCCTGCAGTCCTGGCCCGAGGCCCGTCCCTAAATGGCTGCGGCAGGTGGCAGCTCAGCCCAGCACCTGTTTGCCTGTTTGCCGGGATGGTGACTACCCCTTGGTCTGGGAGAGGGACCTGCCCTGCGGCCTGGTGTTACTTACTGCCCACCAGCTCTGCCCACCGGCTTCTCTGTCGCCTGCCTGCCTGCTTCCCCCAGGGGCCTGTGCAGGGGTCGGGCCTGGAGACCCCTGGCCAGGACCTGGGCCTGTGGCAGAGCAGGAAGGCTCCGAGGCAGAGGGTCCCAAGCCAGGGCCTTTGTACGGCTTGGCCTGGGCTGCTAATCTGGGCAGCGGGCAGGCAGGCCCACCCCTCTCCTGGTCCTGCAGGAGGAGGACACCTTGGTGCGCTGTGTGTCTGTCCTGGGCAACCTGGCCGACCAGCTGTACTACCCCTGCGAGCACATCGCCTGGGCTGCCGACGCCAGGATCCTGCACGTGGACTCAGCGCGGTGGTGGGCGCTGAGCACGGCCTTGTGGGGCCTCTCGCTGCTCCTGGGCATTGCCAGGTAGGCATGGCACTGCCCCGCAGGCTGGAGGGAGGGAGTGGCTGGCAGACAGGCTGGCGGTGTGACCTTTGCCCCTGCTGTTCCGTTGCTGCCACCTCACTGTGTGCACCCAGCACCGCGCAGGCGAGGCTCTGAGCAGCACCCGCTGCCTGTCTTAGAGTCAGTCCCGAGGTCAGAAGCCCCGCATGGTCTCCCTGGGCTCACCTCAGGGTGGGCAGGACTGGGGCCTCCGGAGGCTCCGGGGAGGATGTTCCCGTCTTTTCCAGCTTCTAGGGTTCCTTCCTGCCTTCCCGAGCTCCGGGCCTTCCTCTGTCTCTGATGCTATCACTCCAGCCTCCGCTCCTGTTGTTGCGTCGTCTCCTCTGACTCCACCCTCCGGCCTCCCCCTCCGAGGCCCCTGGTGATGACATTGGGCCACCGGGCACTCTCCCGACGCAAGGCCCTCACTCATCCCGTCGGCAGAGTTCTTTCTGCCGCACAAGGGAACGCACTCATGGGCCCTGGGGATGAGGGCCTGGGCATCCTTGGGGCCATGATGGTGCCCGTGGACTCAGGGAGAAAAACGTGTGGCCTGGAGGGAAGGGGCCAGCGTGGCTGCCTTTACTGGGTCCCCGAGTCCTTCGCATTGTCATCAGCAAACGGCCCCGGATAAAATAGCTTCAAAAATCATATTCTAGAATTCTAAAGTAACGGTTTCCTCCCAACCTTTTCTTCTCTGCACAGTTGCTGAGTGGGCTTGTTCAGAAAACACGGGGTGAAGGGCCTCCCGTGGCAGAATTTCACCAACAGTCCCTTTCCCTGGAGGGGGCAGCCGACCCCCAGCCTCCATCTGCCAATACCACGTGCACACATGCACTTCCGGCCTCAAATGTCCCCGAGAACGATCGCAGGGGTCCTGCCTCGATGAGGCAGGGTGGTATGCGCCCAACGGGCCTCAGGAAAGCCGAATGAGAACCAATTAAAACTGGTGCTGGGAGGTGGCAGTGCCTCTGGCCTGGGCGAGGCCCTGAGCCAGTAGCCTGTTCTCCCCGTTACAGATGCTCTCCTTACACGTTCGTCTCAGTCTGGAAAGCGAACGAACCCAAAGTGGAGGATTCCGATCACCCACAGACCGGGGGGACCCAGAGATCCCGCTGCTTGCACTCCGCTGCCTCTTCTGCCCTTTGACCTTACACTCTGCGGACACCTCGTCCTTGCTCCGGTCTCCTGGTCACAGGGCGGGCTTTGATCTGAGCTCTCCTCACGTTCACGGGCACTGTCTCTGACCTTCCCGTGGGCCTGGCTGGGCTCCGGACACTCCCGAGGCTGCAGCTCCCGGGGCCTGTGACTCTGGCGCTGGGATCTACCATTCCTGCTTTAGGGGCGGCCTCGATGCCGTTCATTTTGAAAAATAGGTTACAGTTTAGGGCGGTTTTAGGTTCACAGCAAAACTGAGCTGAAAATAGAGTTCCCATTTCCTGCCTGCCCCCACACAGCCTCCCCGCCAGCATGGCGTGCGAGAGGGACCTGTCGCAGGCGATGAGCCTGCACGGACATGGCTCCTCACCCCGTCCGTGGTCCGGGCCTAGGTGAGGGGTGCTCTGCTGGTGAGATGTAACCTGACCCCCACCACAGCATCACGGAGCGGTTTCCGTCCTGACGGGCCTGGCGCCAGGCATGTTGGAGCATGTTGTTTTCCCATGAGTTTCTGTTTGGGGTTAGCATGTGCGCTCTCAGGACCAGCGTCCTTAAGCCCCGGGATGCCGGAGAGGCGCCGGGAAGGTCGGGTGGACGCCTGGGCCAGGAGCCCAGAGCTCCTGACTCCGCTGGTCCAGGGCCCAGCGCCGAGGCCTTGGTGTGGCCTTAGGCCCAGGTGGCTTTGGTGCAGACCCACTTCCCCACGGCAGGTGGGGCCTGTGTCCCACTCTGTGCATGGGCAGATGCTCTAGTTACAGGGTGCTGGGCCTCTGGGCCCTCCCACAGTGGCTGGGAGATGTGACCAGGGCCCGGACCTCCCAATCATGAAGTCTGGCTGGCTCAGCTCTCCAAACGGCAGGGCTCAGCCACTGCACTTACCCGGCCACCCCAGCGCAGGGTGCAGGGCCAGGCGGGCAGTCCGGGCGGGCCTGAGAGTCCTGGGGGAGCACCAGGCTGCCTCCTGCTGGCTGCTCCCTCAGCCTGCCGAAGCCGGCCCTCAGAGCCCAGAAAGCCGTCGGGCCACCTCCACAGGCTGGCGGAGTCCCTGACAGCAGAGCCCGGTACCCGGTACCCGTTATGGGTAACCGTCGCCCGCAGCGGCAGGTGGTGGAGCCTCCCCCAGGCCAGCACTGGGAATGGAACCCCTGCACCGCCCTGCCTCTCCTGCCCTCTGGCCGGGCCCCTCATCCTCTCTGGCGTTGCAGGTCCCTGTGGGTGGTCCTGAAGCTGAGACAGCAGCTGAGGAGCCCGGCGGCGGCCGTCAGCAGGTACTTCCCTCCCACGGGGACGGGGTCCCCAGCCCCCGGTGCTCTGGGTTGCAGCATTATCAGCCCTGTCCCTGCACAAGGCCGTGGTGGGGGCGGTGATGGGTCCCCGGGCGTCGCCACAGCCTCCGGTGATGGGAGCACTCTCACTTGGGGACAGCGAGGCCCCCCAGGCAGGACAGCAGAGCCAGGGCCCCGGGCGGAGTCCTCACGCTGTGCCCGCAGCGCGCAGGGCAGGAGAGGACCAGGGACAGGGTCACTTCCTCCTGGAGAGCGCTGTGCCTGGCGCTGTGCCATGGCCGGCCCTGCCCCACCTCCCTGACTGACTCCAGGGCTCAGCAGGGCAGATGTGGAGTTGAGACTTTCCACACAGGCCTGTGCCCTGGTCCCGTGGGCTCCCTCTGGGGGTGACGGGGACTCCTTGCTCACAAACAGGGTCTGGTCACTCCCCTCCCTGCCTGTCCGGCCAGCATGGGCACCCTGGGCCCGCCCTGAGCGACTCCTCTCTGACCCACAGCCAGCGGCCCCGGAGCACGCGGGCGGCCGCGGAGGCCCGGATCCAGTCGGAGCTCGTGACTGTCCTGAGCAACCTGGCCGACCTGGCCAACGCCGTGCACTGGCTGCCCCCAGGCTTCCTGTGGGCCGGCCGCTTCCCCCCGTGGCTGGTGGGCCTCCTGGGCACCATTTCCTCCCTCCTCGGCGTGTTCCAGGCAGCCCGGGCCAGTGGCCGGGCTGGCAAGGCCGCCTCCTGACAGCTGGAGGTGCACGGACACCGCGGAGCCTCCGAAGGGAGGGCCTCCCAGCACTGCAGTCCCCGGGCCGGTGCTGGGTCTGAGCAACCCAGGCCAGGTGCGACCAAGAGCACACAGTGACCCGGCACAAGCTCTGTGAGGTAGGGTGCAGGGTGGCTGAGGTCCCTTCCACCCAGGCCCCCTTCCCCGCTGGGAGGAGGCGTCTCTCGAGGCCAGAGCAGAGGCCCCAGGACGCCATGAAGACGAAAAGGCACAGTGGCCTAAGCAGAGCCTCCGTCCGCCCCTGGCATCCTGTGCCCAGATGGGCAGGAGGCAGGGTGGTATGCGCCCAACGGCCTCAGGAAATCCGAATGAGAACCAATTAAAACTGGTGCTGGTGCGAGGCCCCCCGCGAGTCCTGTTTCCTAAACTCACCAGCTCCCTGCCCCGCCCCCTCCCTGCGCCTTTTAGGGAGGGGCCTGCGGGCGCCACCTCTGGATGTGGTGGCCCATATGCCTGATGGCTCCTCAGGGAGCAGAGCTGCAGGGGAAGCTACACTCCCATGTCCCTCCTGGAGCGCCTTTGGCCGGGGGCCCTATCCGCTGCCGGCTGCCAGGCTGCCCGCTGTGCCGGCTGCCACCATGCTGTCTCTGGCCAGGCCGTGCCCACATCGCCTCCTTCCTCGTCACTGGGAGGTGCTTGTGGTCCAAGCAGCTGACACGCAGCCACAGCTGGGACCAGGGCCATCACCCCTTGGGCCAGCCCAAGCATCTCGGAGGCTCCTCGCCAGCCGGCGGCGTCTAAAGATGTCTCACGGAGACGTGGCAGGACCCCTGCGATCGTTCTCGGGGACATTTGAGGCCGGAAGTGCATGTGTGCACGTGGTATTGGCAGATGGTGGCTGGGCCATCTCGATGTGTCCTTGGACCCTTGCCCTTAGTCCCAGCGGGAAAAAGGGAACCCGGCTCTGCCTCATGTCCCCAACGGGCCCAACAAGACCTGTGCTTGTTGTCTGAAGACGCACATGACTTCAGCCAGATGGCGCTCTTACAGGGAGGATGGGAACAGCTGGGCTGGCGGACTGCGGGGTAACATGGGGTGCAGAAACCTCACCCTACACCTGGCTCAGCCTCTCCGTCCCTATTGCAAAGCTGAGCAGCTGGCACATTCCAGCACCAAGGAACCAGCGAGACCATGCGGGGTCAGAGCAGCACCGCCTGCGCCTGGAGCACGGGGAATGCCTGAGTGCCGCACCAGTGGGCGGGCCACGTGGACCCCGGGCTCTGGCTGCCGGTCAGCCTGGGGCCGCCGCTGGCCAGGCTCAGGCACACCCTGGGCAGCTGGGATGACCCTGCCTGCAGAGTGGCCACACCGGCCCACGGCTAGTTCCTTGGTGGGGGCAAGGCCTCACTGGTCCCAGGAGTATGTCGATAGCCAACGGCTCAGGGAGCAGAGGGCCACCACCTCAGGGCCGAGGGGCCAGGCTAGCCAGGGCGGGAGGGCGTGGTGGCATTCCCCCAAAGCCGACCCTGATTGGGGGGTTCACTCTGGGCCTTCTGCCTCTACCTTTGACTGTCCAAACAGGACTGTGTGGGGACTTCTCAGAACAGAGCAGGCTGAAGGGCCCAGGCTCCTCCCTGTAATCCCGACAGCTCCGCTCACCACAGGCAGCTGGTCAAGCTGGTCCCGAGGCCGCCATCCTGCATTCCCCGCCCCAGCTACAGGACAGGAGCCGAGGGGGCGCCTCAGGTGTCCTGGGACCACCGGGAGGGACATCAGACTCTGGTTCTCGGGCTCCTGCAAGGCCCTGGGTCTGGAGTCCAGGCCTCCCTAACAGTCCCGCAGACCTGGCGTGCGCCCCGCTGGTGAGATGAGCCTGGGGGAGCCCACCAACAGCCGCCTGAGCACAGGAAGGACAGCCACTGCCAGCTCGTCTTCAGACACCTTTATTGCTAGAATCAGGCTTGAGTGCTAAGGCAGTTCTGAAACATCCCGCGTGAGGACAGGACATACTGCGATCGTAGCATCACTGGGTGGACTGAGGTCAAGTCAGTTACCGAAGATGTACACAGATGCTCGGCCGCCAACTTTACAAACGGCACTGGGTCTTCCCAGGAGCGGCCGCAGGCGACTGGCCAGAGAATGTGCCGGAGACCTGCCCCGCTGCACGCCTGGCCGGAGACCCCTCGCCGAGGCGGGAAGAGCCATTCCCACCACATGCCGAGGAGAATCCAAGGACTTGGCTTCCGAGGACCTGTGTGCCTGAGGCCCAGGAATGCAGTCGTCACAGAAGGAAGGAAATAAAGGAGAATTTCCTAAAGTGCTCTGATTCGTCTCAGTACAAAAACATAAAACACTGGTTACAGATCCAGCACAGGGGATGGCGGAGGTCACTTCTCTTTGGGCCCTGCTGATGCTGCTGGTCCCGCAGGCAGAGCGAGGGGCAGGGCCAGCAGGGCGGGCCGGAGTGGTTCTGAACGGCTGCTGTCAGCTCGTCACTCACTGGCTGTCACCTTGACCCTGGGCAGCTCAGGACCTATCCTGCCGACACTGTGGGAGGTGCTGGGCTCGGCCCGCGGAGAGCCTGGGATGCAGAAAGAGTCATGTCCCCCCTGCACCAGCACCGAGCTTGTGTTTGGCCGGAGGTGGGACGTGGCCCTGTGACACCGCCCCAACGCGACAGCCTTGCCAGAGGACCAGTGGCCCTTGCCCGCTTCCAGGGGTGAGGGGACAGCCAGCCCCAGCAGCTCACTGGACGTGTGGCCTGTGAGTGGCCGCCTGCCTGTCCACTGGAGGTCTCCAGGCCACGTGTGCTCCTAGCGTTTCCCCTTCACTGCCGGCGCCGCCGCTCTGCTCTGTGTTGTACCTGCGTCAGCCCATCAGCCTGAGACCAGCCCTGGGCTTCCTCTTGGAGGCTCTGGGCAAACAGGCTCATCTCCGGGGACCGAGGGCCCTCCCTCGGCCGGGACTGTGGGGCGTGCTGGCCTGGCTGAGCCTCTGATTTGCCTTCCCCAGGCCGAGCGCCCGAGCGCCACGCGGACTCAGTGAGGTGCCTTGGGGAAGCCCCGAGATCGCCGGCAGCAGGCTGAAACACCCACCCAGTTAGCAGGGGTCCGGTCAGGCCCTTTCGAGATGAGTTTGCCTAAAGAACTCGCCTCGAGCACAACTGGCCGCCGCTGGCAGCCCCTCTGCCCCGCGTTCCCTCAGTCCCGGGAGGCGGGTGCGCGCTCTGCCCGTGCCCTGGCCTTGGGCTCACCGTGAACCCATGTAGATCTCGGCTTGGATTCCGCAAGGGAGACAACTGACACTACCCTGGCCCTTCTGCTGCCTAATGACCGGTCCAGCTCCAGTCTCCGAACGGCTGTGGGCGGCCCCCCTCCCAGACCGAGGCCTGGCCCGCCGTCGGGCTCCGCGGGACCCTCTGCGGCTACCTGGGAAAACTGCGGGAGTGGGCCTCTCCCTGCCATTAAAACAGCCCCTCGGTTGGCTTAGGTTCAACCTTCAATTAAAAACGTTCCTTTTTGTATTAAAAAAGGCACCACCGCTGACCAATCCCTACACCACGAGCCGGAGGCAGGTGGGCCGGGCCAGGCAGCCATCCAGGGGGTGTGCTGGGCAGGGGCGGGCTCTGCACCCCACGCCGAGGGCCTAGAAGAAGATGACGTCTTCTCTGCTCGCTTCTTCCTTGTTGAGGGGGGTGAGGGGCTGCGGCGCGGGCAGGAAGGGGGTGCCCTCGGGGGACGTGTCCTCCGCGGCTGGGCTGGGCGCCTGGGCGAAGAAGTCTGGAAGACAGAGGTGGGGTGTGGGCAGCCACCAGGCACTGCGGGGCCCTGCGCCTGGGTGGCGGGCTCACCTTGGGGGGATGCGGATCTGTGGCTGCTGCGCCGGATGGGGCTCAGGGAGCTGTGGCTCCGAGGGGCGTGCTCCTCCTTGCCCGTGAGTTTGCAGAAAAGCTGCTGCTGCTTCAGGTCGAACGAGGCTGACAGAGGGAAGAGGGTGCACCTGGGAGCTCAGCCTGGCTCCCGCACACGGCAGCCCCCACCCCCAGCTCCTGAGCACTTCCCAGGATCCTGTTTCAGGGGGACCCCCTCAGACAGTAAGCCCAAATGCAGTGACTTTACAAAATGGGAGAACCCCCCCAGCAGACCCCAAAATGCCCCCACAATAAGCCAACCTCTGGGCCCTGCAGTCCTGGGACACAGGCCCTGCTCGTAGGTCCAGGAGGGCTCCCTGCCAGGAGCTGTGCCAGAGAGCCCCTGGCATCGTCACCAGTGTCCTGACTGACTGGGTGCTCTGACTGCTGGCCTCTGGGGCCACCCAAAGGGCCTCCCGGCCCTTCCTGGTCCAGTTTGAGGACCGCGGTGGGAACAGCCCGGGGTCTGTCGCGTCGTGTCGCTTCGGGAGGATAAACCGCCCCGCGGACTGGGGAGGGGCCTCAGCGCGGCCAGCTGCATCTCCGCAGGAAGACAGCTGGCCTGTGGTTCGCCCACAGGAGGTGCTGCGGTATCACTGATTGCTCATGACCGGATCTCCTAGTCCAGGAGGGCCGGGCAGGCCTGGAGGTCACCCATCTCCCGGAAGACTGAGCTGGGCCCCACCCGCCACACCTGCCCCCAGGCACAGAACTCACCGGAACTCTCACTGCGCTGGGAGCCCCTGCTCTTGCCGCCCTTGTCCTTGCCGCCCTTGGTGAAGGCCGCCAGCTTGGTGGGGATCTGCTGCTGCACGGCCGCCTGCCTCTGGGTCTGGTTGGTGGTGCTGAGCAGCTGGATAGGCACGTCGCTCCTGGCTGGCCGGCTCTCGGCGAGGGCGCTGTCCCGGCGAGCCACCTCGGGGCGCTCGGGGCCTTCCAGCCCCTCCCCGTTGAAGCTGGCGGGGTGGCTTGGGGGCTGGGCCTGAAAGAGCCACAGAAGACACATCCCAGAGATGCTCCTCCTCAGCACCGCCCACTCCACGGGCTTCGGGGAGAACCTTGTCCACCCCCGGACCCTGGGCCACGGCCTGTCCCCATAAACACACACACACACACACACACACACACACACACACAGGCACTCGCATGGTGACACCCACACAGGCCCTGTCCCCTAGCGAGTTCACGCATGCGCTGCACAACGCGCCCACGCCTGCGGCTGCGCTCCCCTCGCTCACCTCTGAGGGTGGCTCGGGCGGCAGCGCCCCGGGCGCCGTGCTCTGCCTCTTGAGCCTCTGCAGCAGCTCCAGCCGCTCGCGCTCGCGCTCCACCGCGCGCTGGGCCTCCCGGAGCCGCTCCAGGTCGTGCTGGTAGGCCCGGCGCTGCCGCTCCAGCTCGGCGCGCTCGCCCGCCAGCTCCTCGCGCTGCTTCTCGAAGTCGCGCTGCCGCTCCTGCTCCAGCAGCAGCAGGTTCCCACGCGTCGACTGCAGCCGGAACTGCTTCTCGCGCTCCTGGATGGAGGCCCTCTGCGTCTCCACGTAGCTGTCCTGCTGGGTGATGGCCGCCTGGGGGAGTGGGCTCATGAGGCGCTGGCCGTGCCCTCCCCCGGATCCCAACCTCAAACCGGAAGGGCAGCGCAGCCTGTCACTTCCCCTCCTGCCCACAGCCCTGTACCTGGAGGCTCAGGAGCAGCTGGGACAGCGTCTGGATTCGCTGGACAAGCTGTGGAGAGACAAAGTGCTGGCTTTCTGCCCGAGGCCCTCCTGGTGTGCATGCCAGACCCCGGGAGATGGACAAGCCCGAGCCTACCTCCAGCTCCAGGACAACGGGCAGACGGGGGCCAGACTCCGTGCCCGGTGCCTCCACCTGTGGACACACAATGTCAGAGCCCACAGCTGCTGAGGAAGAAGCCAGACTCCAGTGCTGACGCAACTGCCTTAGCGTCTGGACAGTGAGGATGCAGGGTGGCTCCAGGAGGCGGAGGCAGCTGCCAGGAGCCTGGCCATGGCACACTGCTGGCCCTGCGCTCACCCTGATGCTTGGCAAGATGGGTGTTCTGAGCTGAAGCAGGGGGAGCAGCCAGCATGACTGGCATCATGGCTGTGTGGAAGCTCACGGCCCCGCATGGTGCTCCTCACCCGTGGGGGAGGCCGTGGCTGCTGCCCTAGCCCGCCCCTCCCGGCCTCCCACATGCCGGGCCTGCAGGAAGAGACACGAGGCTCCCCTGCCTGCTCGCTGACCGGGGCTGAGACATGGCTATTCGCATGAACGGACAGCACATGCCCCTGCCGGCTGTGAGGGGAGAGCTGAACAGATGTTCACACTTGCTAGCAATTACACGGACGGGGCTGGCTCTGCACTGGGCTCAGGGCTGGCCCAAGGGAGCAACGTACCGTCCACGGTGCTTCCTCGGAGGCGCCAGGGGGGTCGCCAAGCTTCACGTCTGGACTGCTTACAGGGTCTTGCCAGTCTCCTGGGCTGAGGTCGCTGCCACACACCTTCTTCCTGAAACTGTCACCTAACACCCCAGGCACGTGAGGACGCTTGAGGTCCCCCAGGGTCTAGACCCTTCCCCAGCCCCGAGCCCCGGTAGAAAATTTCCAACAGCCACTGGAATTGTGGCTGGGCTGCCGCCTTAGGCCTGTGCACCTGTGGTGCAGAAATCGGCAGGAGCAGGCCTGGCTGCTGTCAAGCATGACCAACAACAGTTGGACGGTCCCAAACCCTGACCACAGACTGTACGGACGCTGACAGGAAATAACAGCAGAGATGCCAAATAGCAATAGCTGGCTCTGCCGAGGGGACATCTGAGGGACCGGAACCTGCTGCTGCTACTGGCCTTCCTTCCCAAGCGTCCCGGGTCCCGCCCTGGGGAGGAGGCGCCACTCACTCTTGCCAGGGTCACTGGTGCGGTCGGAGCCTCCAAAGGCCTCTGCCCTCTGGTGCAGGCCCGCAGAGGCACCCCCATCTTCTGCCAGGCCACGGGAGCCGCCCAGCCGCCGGCAGATGAGGCTCTGGATGTCCTCAACTGTGGACGGAGACAGGAGGGATGCAGCCACTCTGTGCAGTCACATTGCGTGTCTGGGGCGCAGGGCCAGGGCAGAGGATGGAGGGGGACTCCAGCGCCATTGACCCTGTGCACTCCTGCACAGGCACCCTGCCCAGGTCAGGCCTCTCCGTGTCTAAAGGAGACTAGCTCTGCGGGGCAGCATGTGGATGGGGCATCCTGGCCCCTAGGCTGAGGGTAAGCTAGGCCCAGAAGGGCCTGTGTGGCCACTGCTGGTGTGATGAGTCATCCAGAATGTTCGGAGTCACGGGAGGAAGGACCTGGGGCCAGGGCTGGTCACACCAAGTGCTCCAGGACAAACAGGCTTGGGCCGGGCGAGGTTGGCCGAGGCCCAGGACACGAGAGGCCTCAGGGGGCCAAGAACAACAGCCACTGGAGGAATGGGAGGAACTGCTATGGCTGCGGAAGCCAGACTGAACGGGGCAGGGTCCACGTGGGAGCCCCTCTGCTGTTACCCTCCCTGTGAAGGGGAGGGGCTGTGTCCGCCTTGTTTACTGCTGAGAGGGGGTGTGGGCTGTCCTTCGGGTGAATGAGCATGGCTGCCTGGCCTGACACGGGGGCTCAGTGGCTGCACGGAAGCTGCCAGGGGCTCTGGCATGGGCCTGACTGCTCTGTGAAGCAGGCCTGGCCAGCTGCACACAGGGGCAGGCCGCCTACCGGAGCGCTCGGAATGATCTACCAAATGTGTACACTGGCGTGTTCCCACATTCACCTCTTGAATGTGGGAACTCATCTCGGTCGACCTCAGACGCCTGGGGCCCGGAACAGGGCCTTCCTGTGGCAGGTACCGGGGTACCCAATGTGCGAGAAAGAGGTCTCAGTCCGCACCAGGGGCTCGCTCTGGGTCGTGTCTAATGGCCCTCAGGCTCTAATGGGTGCTGGGGAGGGTGCCCAGCCCCCAGCCAGATAGACGTGTCCCCTGGAGAGGGTGGCGAGGTGGCCACACTGGGCCATGTGCCCAGCCTGTGGTCCCCAAGGAATTACCCCCAGGCAGAATGGTGCTGGAGAGGGAGGCGCTGTCCCACAAGGTCCTCGGGGCAAGGCCACTTACTCTCGGTCATGGCGGACTTGAGGATCACCTCGCCCTGCAGGTTCTCGGGGAGGTCCCCTCCCCGGAAGAGGAGGCGAGGCTGAGCCTGGTCATCCAGTCCGCTCATCTCGGCCATCTCCAGGAAGATCTGTTGCTTCTCTCGCAGGCTCTGTGCAATCTGCTGGTCCTTCAGTCTCAGTCGTTCTGCGAAGCCACGGGGGTGGAGGTCAGGCTCTCAGGATTGTTCCCCAGGAGTCAGCACGGGGGGGCCGCACAGTGGGGCTGGCCTCCGGGGACCCCTGCTGATCCACCTCACCCCACGGTCCACTGCTCCCTCCATCCAACCTTCGAGAGGCAGGGAGGGCCTGGCCCTGCCTCGGATCGCTTCCCACAATCATAAAAAGCAAACACAGCGGGGTGTGGTGAGACCATGACAGGCCAATTTGGGGACAAACTGAGAGCCTCATAAGATCTAATTTTCTAATCGTGAACGTCCTCCTTCAGGCATTTAGGTCAAACGCCTTCTCACAAGCCTTCCCGTTTTATGCTTGTACGGCTGCCATTGCTGTGACTTCTGGCTTAGACTTCCTCACTGGTGACTGTTAGCACATCTACATCACGTTCAGGTAAATAACTCACTCTTATCCGTTCTAATAATCTTCCAATTGGTTCTATTGTATTTTGTAGGCAAATAACCATAATTCTGCATATTTTAATACCATTTTTACACATGCTTTGATGAATCACTTCTGTCTGATTCCTGATTCTGTGTGTGTTTTTTTTTTGTCATTTATACAAGGAATTTGCTTACTTCTATAAATTAAACACATTCACCCATTTTCTTAAAAAAAACAAAGAAAAATAAAACAAACAACCCCCCTCCCCCACAAACAACATAATTCTGTTGCCACCCTTCCAATCATATCTTACTTCTGTCTCTCCCAACATTCCCTGGCTGGGACTGCCAAGATGAAGATGATAATCAAGAGTGGATGGCTCCAGTTTTTTAAATCCTCACCAGGAAGATATGTTTTTAATTGATTTTAGAGAAAGAGCAAGGGAGAGAGAGAAATATTAATCGGCCTTATATACGCACACTGACTAAAGATCAAACCCACAACCTAGGTATGTGCCCTAAGTGGGAATTGAACCTGTAACCTTTTGGTGTAGGGGACAATGCTCTAATTAACTGGGCCACCTGGCCAAGGCTAGTTTCTGGTTTTGAGAGTGTCTCAAAGTTAAGGTTGAGTTCAGCTTTTGATCCAAGATGGGAAAGAATATCTTGATAAAAAAAAAAAAAAAATCTTTGTAGTCCTAATTCACTAAGAATCTTGGGAATGAGTGATGAAGAGACATTACTGTGTGACTCTACAGTGTCTATGCAGAACATATATTTCATTACTATCAGAGAAAATTGTGAGTTAGAATGAGATGAAATGAATACTCCAGGGTCCAAAGGATTTCCTCTCCTTTCTTTTGGACATTTTTATTAATTAACTAGAGGCCTAGTGCAAGAAATTTGTGCACTGGGGGGAGGAGGGGAGTTAGAGTCCCTCAGTCCAGCCTGCACCCTCTCCAATCTGGGACCCCTTGAGGAATGTCCGGCTGCCCATTTAGGCCTGATCCTACAGTAGAATTGGGCCTAAATGGGCAGCTAGACATCACTCTACAATCCAGGCCTGCTGGCTCCTAACTGCTCACCTGCCTGCTTTCCTGACTGCCCCTAACCGCTTCTGCCTGCCAGCCTGATCACCCCCTAACCACTCCCCTGCCAGCCTGATTCATGCCTAACTGCTCCCCTGCCAGCCTGATTGCCCCTAACTGCCCTTCCCTGCAGGCCTGATCCCTCCCAACTGCCCTCTCCTGCTGGCCATCTTGTGTCCACATGGGGGCAGCCATCTTGTGCGTTGAAGTGATAGTTAATTTAATTTGCCTATTACTCTTTTATTAGATAGGATAGAGGCCTGGTATATGGGTGGGGCTAGCTGGTTTGCCTTGAAGGGTGTCCTGGATCAGGGTGGGGGTTCCCTTGGGGCGTGGAGCAGCCTGGGTGAGGGGCCTGTGGTGGTTTGCAGGGTGGCCATGCCCCCCCACAGCAGACCACCAGTCTCTTGTGCAATGGCCAATCCCAATGGGACAGAAGAGAAGCACCACTGGTGGGCCCAGGCCTGCTGCCCAAGCAGTGCTCTGCAGGGCTAGGTCACCACCACTAGGGGGCACATCTGTGGGTACAGGCGCCCAGACTCCCTCCCTCTTACCTTGGAAGTCCCTCAGCCTCAGGGCGCGGGCCTCCACCACCTTCCTCTCCTCTTCAGTCTCGATGAAGGGCCCTTCCTCCTCCACCGGGCAGCTGCGGGGAGGGGGACAGATGGCTGAGAACGCTCACTGGCTGACTGGCTCGGAAACGGGCCCCGAGAAGTGTATCTGCAGAACCGGCTGCTAAAGAGGATCTCATTTTGTGGTAGGATTAGCTTGTCAATGTTGCAGCAGCAGCAGGACAGGGAAGAGAAAGACAGCCATGAGCACGAACCTAATCTCAGTGCTGGGATAAAACCAGCCCCGGGTTTTATTATTTATTTGTTTGTTTACTTAAGATGCCTTGAAAGCCATGTCACCGCTTTTTAAATTTGATTCTGAGAGAGAAAGATACATATCAATTTGTTGGTCCACTCACTTACGCATTCACTGGTTAGTTTTAGTGTGTGTCCTGACCAGGGTTCAGACCCGAAACCTTGGTGAATCAGGACGATGCTCTAACCAACTGAACTATTGGGCCAGAACCAGCCACACGTTTTAATTGCCTGCCACAGCTGGAGGGAGAGATGGGGACAGCTCATTCCCTAGGGACTACCCAGCACGGAAGCCGCAAGGCTGGCAGAGCTGAGGCGAGGAGGGAGGGAGCGCCAAGCAGGCTAAGGCTTTGGGAGGTGGCCAGGCAGAGAGGAAGCGGCAGGCTGCCAGGTGGGGGGGCCGGGCCACCTTTCCCCATCTGCTGGGTGGACCAGCAGCCAGGCACCCTGCAGAAGCACAGGGCTGGGGTCCTGAGGTTCTCTGGCCGGAGGAGGACAGAATGCCATGATTTGCTCCATCAGGTCTGGCCCCAATGAGGGTGGGGTGCAGGATGGGAACAGCCTAGGTGTCAGGCGGTGTCCCACCAGAACGGAAGTCAGAGCTGCCTGGCTCCACGTCCCCTGGCGAGACACTTTGGGGCCCTTTTAGAGGAGTCGGCATGGTGGCGTCTTTTAAATAGAGGGATGGAAAAACACAAGGTGGAAAGTGGGAGGGAAAGCAAAGGTCCGTCTGCCTGTGATTTCTGGTGTTCTCTGGGGCAGCGCAAGGTCACAGCCAAGGGCAAAATGGCAGCGTGGAGCACACAGGCCCTGCTCACCTCTCCACGGCCCTTCGGATGTGCGCCATCCAGGCGTTTCTCTCCTCCTTGGAGCTGGTGTAAATCTCATACATCTCAGGCCCTTGCAGGGAGGCGCTGATCAGGAACATGGCCTTTTCCTCGTTGGCTACTTCCCTCACAATGAGCTTTTGTAGCGAGATGACGGGGCGCTTCGAGTCCTGCACGAGGGGACAAGGTGGGAGTGCCACCTTTTACTGCAGGCACCCACTGGTTTTCAAACCATCCCGAGAAGAAGTATTTTACCATCTGGGGGAAGAGACACTATTGCAATGACATCCTTGTATGCTTTAATGCATCTGTTTAATGGACTCAAACAAGTGTGTTTTATAATCAACTAGAGGCCCGGTACATGAATTCGTGCACGGGTGGGGCCCAGCGGGGCTGCTGGCGGTTGGTGGGCTGGCCCTGCCCTTGATCGGGGGCCGGACTGGCCAGGGGAGGGGCCGTGGTGGTTGGCTGGCCCCGTCTGTGTGCTGGGAAACATGGGAGGCTTTTAAATCTGGGAAAGGTACATGATTTCATAATGAGTCAGCGCTGCCCTCCTCGTCAGGTGGACCTGGAGGCTGGCGGGGGCACCAACGCCTCCCCGCAGGGAGGGCTGTGCTGTTAAATCCTGAGGACAGGGGCCCTCTAGGGGAGCAGAGGAGGAAGCCAAATTCCGGGGACCGTGGGCCGGGAGGGTGACTGGCACCCCAGCCCGGCCCCCAGCCCTCTGGCTGTGCAGAGCCCATGGCAGGTGTGGCCAGGTCTCTGGGACAGCCTGCTGTGGGATCAACTGGGCACAACACAGGGTGGTGGCTGCCTGACGAGCCAGAAAGTCCCTGGGAAGGGGGGAGGGGCTTTCCTGCAAGGATGCTGGGGCCGGAGGATCTGAGCGCCTGTGACAGAAATGCAGAAATGCAGAAGTGCAGCCTCGCCAGACCAACTAGGTAAGACCCCTGTTCTGGGGAACGTCTACAACTGCCTTCCGGAACCTTCTGGCCCTGGCAGGACCGGGGACAGCACGTGACTTAGGGATGGGCTTATCTCGCCACCTCGCTCTGTGCTGTTCTCGCCTCGTTGTGGATGCAGCCCGGCCACTCCCCACCAGCGCCTCCCCGCAGTCGGCTTTAAAGCAGCTCTTGGCGTGGAGAGAGGACACATACCACAGAAGCAAAGACGTACTTCTGGTCCTTTTCTTGCAGCAGCAACAGCACATCGGTCAACAGGACGGCAAGGACATCTGCGGGGAGAGGACAGGAGGCAATGCACCGGCAGGGCCGTGTGCGGCCTGCTGGCAGCCGGGAGACGCGGACGGCAGGAGCCTGGCCACTCAGCCCAGAGCCAGGATGCTTCTGCAGGAGCCCGAGGTTTCCTTTCACTCACGCCTCCCACCACCTGCCTGGGTCCCCATGTTTCTGCGCCGCACTGCCAGGCCTGTGCCCTAATCCCCTGCTGGCCTTCGAGGTTCTCTCACTGTGATTTCTCAATTGAGAACTCTGCACCCCTCTCCTGCTTCTACCTGCCCAGGCCACCCGGGACCTGAGGGGGTGGGCCCTCGCCTGCTGCCTCTGACCGCAGCGATGCACTCCCGTCCCGGCGTGGCCAGAGCCTCCGGTCCGGGCAGCAGGCGGTGCCTGGTCCCTGCAGGTACACCCCTCAGTACCCGCGCACTTGGTGCAGGTCCTGCGTGTGTTTCCCACACGAACACTCATGCCCTGAACACGGCCTCCTTCTTGGGGAGAACCAGACACCCTCAACCAGCCTCCGGCTGCCTCCAAAGCGCTCTCACACTTTGCCCCCGTCTCTGTGGACTGGCTTCTCTCTGCCCGCTGACTGGAGCCCCATAAGGGCGGGCCTTCCACCACCCACTGCAGGGTTTGGCACACAGGAGGCACTACACCGTTCTACTGGACGCGTGCCCTGCAAAACGCACACACACATTCCGTGGTCGGGCCGCCCGGGGATCGTGCCGCTCCCTCTGGGACCTTACAGGTGCCGATTCCGGGGACAGGCCGGCTGCTTCGAGAGGCTCATGCAATGGACGGGAACCTCGAGCCTGAGATCAGACCATGAGTTCTGAAAGCTGGGCTCAGAGCACACCCTTAGCAGTGACTGGGACGCTGGGGGACACCAGGTCTGTGCGGTTTCTGTGCTGGTGGGCCCTCTGCAGGCGCACCATTTGGAAGTAACCTGGGCCTCATGAAGCTTTGGATTTCTGTTCAAAAGCGTGAGCCCTGTGGCCTCCAGGTGTGCATCGCACCGCCTCACACCTGGAGGAGGGTGCTGGTGCATCTCATTCTCACTCCACTCCTGACTGCCGTGCTCATCCTGACTCTGCACGCTCCCCCCCTTCAGCCACCAAGCAGCCAGGCTGCAGTGGCTCTGGCAGCCGGCATCCCCCCACCCTAAACGGTGCTCACCGACCCAGAGGGCACCCCTACTCCCAGGTCATGGCACCACTCCAAGGTGGCAGCACCCATTCAAGAAGGTGGCACCAAACCAAGAAGGTGGCACCGGTCGAAGAGGGGAGCCGCTCCTCGGAGTGCCGCCCTCCCAGACGTCACCTTTCAGGCGCCCCGCCGCGGTCTTCCAGGCCAGCGGGCCCTCCAGGTGCAGCTGCCGCTGCAGCATGTCCTCCTTGCGGAAGGGCAGCCCGTTCTTGAGCTTGCTGGAGGACTTCAGGTCCATCCTCCCTGCGATCTCTCTGAGGCGCTGGCCTTTCTCGCACTCGCTGACCTGGGTGTCCACTTGGGAGATAATGTCTCTGATGAGGTTCAGGGCCTGGGTCAGGTCTTCGTGGTCCTTGGAGCCAGCTGCCGCACAGAGCAGAGTTAGTGCTTTCGTCGGCGCTCGTGAACATGAGAGGTGGACACACTACGGGCCTGTGAGCACTTCCCCCGAGGCCACTGCCTGGAGGACCCTCCAGAATCACCTCCCAACTTGAATTTCCCAAAACATAAATGCTGCTCCAAGCACGCCGCGGCCAGCGCCTGGCTTTACCAGGACGCTTCTGTTGCAGTGAGGCGCACGCACCGCAGGGGTAAAAGCAGCCTGCCAGCTCCCTGCACCCCGCCTTTACCACGAGCTGGGGATCCGGCTTTCGTGGTGGGAAACATGCTCATTTTCCCATGCTCAAATCCCCTGGAGGCGAGGGAGCATGGCCAGGGCGTGCTGGCCACGGAGAGCTGGGCTGCGTGCCTTCTCTGCCCTCCATGATGTAGGCAAGTCCCTCTCGTGGTCCTGGCCATGGACTCTGTGCCCGTCTGGATCACTCAGGAGTGACCTTAACAAGAGCACTTTCTCCATCATTCATCTGCTCCCCAGATGCCTGTGCCAGGGGCCGGGGTAACAGCAGGCAAAGGAGACTCAGTGCCCATCTTTCTTTGTTGGAAACCCCAGCACCCCACACAGTGGATTCGCATGGCGGTCCTCAGCTCATGATCGCCACGCTCAGCTGAACCCAGAGAACCAGGGACAAACCCGAGGGGCACTTATCAGAGACAGACCCCCGCACCAGTGGGCAAGGGGGAGCGGCTGCCGCACCTTCCGTGTTCTGGATGATGCGCTCCACCAGCACGGGGTACTTGGTTATGCGCTGAGTGACCAGAAGAATGCATTCCTGTATGCCCAGGCGCCTCACGATGGAGGAGCTGCCGAGTTTCTAGGGAATGGAAAGAAACATGACACACTGACCCTTATTCCTGCCGAGTCAGCGCACTGACCCCGCGCAGATCCCACGGCTGGAGCTCCTTCCTCTTTGGCTGATGGGGACCTTTTCTCGCACTTTTTTAAAAGCAGGGATCCCTGCCGTATGCGTAAAGGCAACAAAGGCCAAGACAGCCACGCCTGTTGCAAAGAGGCCCCCGAGAGACCAGCTGAGAGCGGCTATGGGAACCCCAGGAGAGCTGCGTGATGCACACATGCTCCCCTATGTGGGAAGACCCCAACCCTGACTGATGCTGTTGGAACCTTCCGGAATGACTGGGCCGGGGCCTCCTGAACCGCTCCCTGCTGGCGTCTGATGCACACCTCTGGTAAGAGCCCACGAAGTGGCCTTCAGAAGCCATTCCTGGGTGGGGACTGGGAGCAGCTCTCCAGAGCGTACCAACCACCGTCCGCCTGCTTCAAGACGCCAGCACTGAGAGGCCCGGGGTGTCCGCTGGGATATGAGATTCATCACAACCTTCCCACTTTCCAGGTGTTTCAGGCTCATGACGTCGGTGGCCTGTCCCACGCTCAGCACAGATGAATTCAGGCCCCGCAGTGCCCTCTCCCTTTCATGCCTACGCACTACGATGGTAATGGAGTGAAATGACCATCAGTGAGAGAACGTCACCTCAGGGTGCAGGTGCAGGAGGAGGTGGAATCTTTCTGGATCGGGGCAGGGCTGCTGCAGAGCCACGCTGATGGAGCCCAGCGGTCTTTCTAGACCAGGTGTACTTTCTAGAACATGGGAGGTGGGCCTTGCCCGACCCGGCTGACCCAGGCTGGGGACATATTTTTAGTTCTGAGTTTGAGCGTCCACACAATGACAGGCCAAAGAGGAGTGTGGTCATTGTATAGGCTGTCAGGAAACAGATGGGGACCGGAGAGGGGAGGAGGCAAAGGGTTGGAGGAAGGCACTCGTGCATCAGCCAGAGTGTCTGAAGCCCTAACAGGTGACTCTGGAGGGGGTGGTTTCCAGGGAAGGGTGCCCTTTGAAATCACGCTTGTTTCACCTCAACACTGAGAAAGATGGCCAGCGGGCTCTGTGCTGGGGCGTCTCAGGGGCCACCCTGGTGTGGGAAGGAACAAAGCTCCAACTCTACTTTGCATCTGGGGATTCTCCAGAAGGTTCCACTGACTTGTTTTGAATGAGCGTGTCATTATGAATGAAATAACAACACAGGTACCTTCATCAAAGGATCCCCAAATAGCTCTGTGGGAAAAAACCTACAGCAAAGAGGACATGTTTTTAATGAAAATAATAATAAATTTTTACCTTGATCAAGTTTTGAAACTTCTTATTTTGCTGCAGCAGCAACTTGTAATGACTGACCGCTTCGTTGTGTCCACTACAGAAGACACCATATTTCTTTTTCATCCTCTCTCCATTTTCACCTGAAAACTGAGGAAAGACAGTGCCGATGTTAACCACCAGGGAAAGTTTGCTTCCAGCTCATCTGTTTTTTCCTAAAACAAATACTAAGTTCACTCAGTTTCACTTCCTTCTCTAACACACAGACAGACACAGCATGCTTCATTACAGGTGCCTCACAGCAAAGGCACAAGGAACACGAAGTGCTCACGGCTTCATGCCACCAGAGTGCTGTAACAACTTCCTGAAATCTGAGGCGGAAAAAAAAAATTTAAGCCAAAGAATGTTAGAAAAATTTTATAGCAAAAGGGGGATCTTCTAATTAGTTCTAATGAGCTGACTCTAAAGGCACTCTGAGGTCAGATGAGGGGTAATGAGATCCTCTGTCAATCTTGGCCACGACTCAGAGGTTGACTCCGAAGTCAATTCAGGGTCAAACCCCCTCATCCCCCCATGAATGGCATTGGGTCATTGATACGCTTCTAATAATCAAAACACAGCCACCAAGACAAAAAAATAAAGACCAGCCAACTAACCAAAGAAAAGCCCAGAATTCACAGTTGGACAGTGATCGCACAAATGTGTTGCTATTTAGGTGTTCGTGGTGTTAAACCAGTGGTTGGCAAACCGTGACTCTTGAGCCACATGAGGCTCTCTGGCCCCTTGAATGTGGCTCGGCGCTAAAACCACTTCTTCAAAATAGACTCGCCCAGAGCTGAAAACCGACTTCTGGGCATGGGCCACGAAGTTTCAATCGCACGCCCACACGTCGTGTTTTGTGGAAATGCCACACTCAAGGGGCCAAAGAGCCGCATGTGGCTCGAGGTTTGCTGACCACTGTGTTAGACCATTAGCCGCACACACAGCAGGAAGGGCCCTGGACCACTGTCTTCTAGAGCGGCAGGCTCTCTACCAATCGGGGGAAAGGGTTCCTGGGCCCAGTTCCTCCACAGTAATGATTCTCAGACAACAGCAGGGTCTGACACTGTCTACCTGGTGACAGCATGAGATTCCAGTTAAGGGTTCAGCCCCGCAAAAGTATCCCTCCCCAAGACACCAGGTGTCACCGAGCTCCTGACCAACGGGCTATAATCAGAGGTTCCCACATCCCCTTCCTGGGTCTGCTGCATTTGCTAGAGTGGCTCACAGAGCGGAGAGACATGGGACTTGCCAGGCCACTGGTTTGGTATATGGGATGTAACTCAGGCACAGCCTGATGAAGAGAGGCGTGGGGCCAGGATGGGGAAAGGGCACGGAGCTCCCATGACCTGCCCAGGCACCACTCCCCAACCTCCCTGTGCTCACAGCCTGCAAGCTCTCCCAACCGTAGTGGGTTTTCATGGAGGCTCCACTACACCGTTGCTATTGGTTAAGTCACTGACCACTATCAACTGCTTCGGCCTCTAGCCCCTCTTCCCACCCAATGTCGGGGCTGGGACAAAATTCCAACCCTCGAATCAATGGTCGGGTCCCCTGGCAATCGGCTCCCATCCTACGCTCTTTCGAAAAGTTACCTCATTCACACACCAGACACCTTATGCTCCAGCACTCAGGCGATCCCAGGGTTGGGGAGCTGTGAGCCAGGAAGCTGGATGAAGACCAGGTGTATGTTTTATGAATTACAATACTGCAGGGAGCCGTGTTTTTGTTATTGGGAGAAACAGAGGGGGCGGGGCTTGTTCGGGCCTTGCCCACCTGCTGGACCAGGAGGTCCCCGATTTCCTGGATGATGTAATTCCGGTCGCTGCCCTCTTCCAGGGACTCCTGGCGGCGTTCCTTCAGTCGAGAGAGGAAGTGGCCATGCACCTCGAGCAGGTCGTCTGCACACGAGAAGAGGCGGCCGATGGCCTTGCTGCTGAACTGCAGCTCCTCCTGCAGGGCCCTGGAGTAGACCTTGAGCATGATCTTGAGCGTCCGCACGTGGTGCACCTCCGTCTGTATCAGCTCTGCGGGGACACGGACGACAGACCTTACCCAGAGTGGGGAGTACACCCTGGCCGGGTTCTTCGTGTGTCCCACGGGGACACTGTGTATACTGCCTGCCCATCACGCACCAGGCTAACTTCTCAGTTCTCCACCCACACCCACATCCGTGGCCTTCCTGCCCAGGAGCCAGGCTTCCCGCCCAGGGCTGCAGGGGTCCCAGTTTAAGGGATGGAGTGACATCAGGACAGAGAGGATCCAAGATGTGTACTCAGTCCTCAGATTCACAGGAGGGCATTTTGTTGTTGTTAATCCTACCCTGAGGATAGTTTTTGATTGATTCTTAGGGAGAGTGGAAGGGAGCGGGAGAAACGGGGAGAAACACTGATGTGTGAGAGACACATCTACTGGCTGCCTCCCAAGTGGGGCTGGGGATCGAGCCTGCAACTGAGGTACATGCCCTTGACAGGAATCAAACCCAGGACCCTCAGTCCTCAGGCTAATGCTCTATCCACTGAGACAACTCAGCTGGGGCCACAGGAGGGTTTGTGCCTAGAGTCGAACAAAGACATTTCAAGGCTGTCTAAGCCAGAAGATTGTTTGGATAAACACCACTCCTTGGGGTGTGAAACTTGCACATTTGTGCATGTCTATGGCCAGACGCGGACTAAGCCACCTGGCCAGGGCAAGTGAGATTTGAAAAGGCAAAGAAAGATCAGGTTTTGTGTTAAGAGTTTTTCTATTTCAAGGCAAAGCCTTAAAGCTGTTCGAGACAAAACCAAGGTCAGCGGGGCTGGGCCCAGGAGTCCAGCGGGGCCGGAGGAGGGCGGGAAGCAGTCTGGGTTTGCCCAGCAGTACAGGTCACGTGGCAGCTGGCTCCCAATGGAAGGGGATCTAGGCTGGTCCCTGTCCCTCTCTGCAGCATCTGTGGCCTGGCTCTGGGCCCTGAGGGAAAGCATCCACCGAGGTTTTCCTCCACAGCCACACCCACCTCGCTCAGCCCAGCAGGAGCTCAGCGTGGGAAACGTAGAAGGACGCGAGTGCCAGTGGACACAGAGAGGACACTTCAGGAAGTGCAAGTTTCCTCCCAAAATGCCAATGAAGAACAGGAAAGTGCCCTCTCAGGTGACACAACACTCATTGTTGGGGATGGTTCCCACGAAGAGGACCCTTAGAAGAACCAGTAATAGCTCTGGCTGGGCCTACTCAGTTGGCTGAAGCATCATCCTGCACACTGAAAGGTCATTGGTTCGATTCCCGTCAGGACACATACCTAGGTTGTGGGCTCAATCCTCGGCTGGGGTGCGTACAAGAGGCAACCAATCGATGTTTCTCTCCCTTCCAGTGGGTTGCCTTGGGCCTGTCACCCTGTTGAGAGGGGCCTGGAGGGCTGGGGCTCCTAGCACGGCTCCTGGCCTGGGAATGGCTCTGTGCCTTAGGAGCTGGGGTTTTCATTGCAACCTACAACCTCCCGTCTCAGGAGAGTGGCTGCCCATGGCCCAGGTCCCTGACAGCCAATGGGAAGGAGCGCCTGCCATGAAGCTGGTGCTCCAGTCACATGGGGAGAAAGGACATGCTTCCCCAGCACGCAGTCACAGCCGCGCTCAGCCTTCCTTCTCTCTCAGGGTCACTAACAAGGTATGAGTCAGGCCAGGGCAGTAGGCCATCCTGACTCTTGGGGATGTTCCTGGCCACCTCTTCCCTGGCCCCAAAGGCAGGGCTGTGCTGGGGAGAGCAGTGAGCGAGTGACAGAGTCTCAGGGGGTGTCAGCAGTGGAGTCAAGATTCCAGGTGAAAAAATTTGAGAAAAAGAAAAAAAGGAAAGAAAAAAAAAGGAAGTGCTAGTGTGAGGCATAGCATTTCTTACCATAAATCACATCCTGTCTCTTCACCACCTCCTTCTTTTGTTCCTTTGCGTACGCCGGGTCCACAGACAGGCTCCAGGACTCGGCCTCGAACTCATGGGCGTCTGATTCGATCTCACTCCGCAGTGAGGCCAGGTAGGAGTCTGGGGAAGGGAGAGGGCACGCTCAGCGTGCAGCCTGACTGGCCTTCATCCCATCAACAAACTGACGTGGTCTCAACATCCCAGGGTGGATGGAGACCACATGTCAGCAGTGGAGGAATTGAAGTGACTGTACCTTCTACAAAAATGGACTCGGCGTTCGAGGATGTAAGTGAAAGGGAGTCGTCAGCTGTCTGCTTAAATTTCAAAAATACAGAGTCGGCTTCATCCATCTCTCCTATGACTGGTCTAAAGAAAAACCATAAAAACAATCATTTTAAAACATTGAATTAAATATGCACACCCCATCCTATGAAGGCAAATCAGACTGTTAATCAATCTGCTTAAATATGAGTTGAGAACTTTGTGGATTTTCATATAAACCTTAACTTTGTCACAAATCACTTTTTAAAGTTAGAAGCCTGTCAACACAACTGCTTCCAGCAAAACGAGCTTCCATGTTCAGATGCGGTCAGAGTGGGGTAAGTGTATGCCTCCTTTCCTGGCTAGGGACCCCAAATGCCTGACTCAGCGGGGTGGAGGGAGACCTCTTCAGAGAAAGACAATCCGCTCCTCTCCCCCCACTCCAACAAGGGTCACACGATGACACTGTTTAGCATCAGGCATTCCCCGAGGAAAGTATAAAACGAACCACCTCGGAGTCCTGGAAACACCGGGTGGGGGCGTAAATAACAGGGTGCAAGCTCCATGGCAACCTCAGTGGGACTTCTAGCCTCGTTGTCCTGTGTAAAGAAAGGGACCCTGGATGAGGGTCCTCCGAGAGCATGAAGCAAAAACACACTGTTTTTAAAAAGGACAAGCAGTGGCTCTGAAACAAGCGTCCACGGGCACTCACCTCTTGGCTGGGGCCCACAAGCAGACTCACCCCCAAAGTCTCCCTCCAGAGGCTGCGGCAGGTCCCCCTGCACTGCCACACCGAGTCCCACCCTCCACCGCACCGACCGCAGGGAGGACCACTTACCCGAGCCTCGCCCCTGCTCCCGCTTGGCTGGGTGCTGGCTGTGGGCCCCCCTTCTGCGAGACCGTCATGCCGGCATTCCTGGAGAGGGCCAGGCTGCCGTCGGACAGGGGGGTGGGCCTCGGGGGCTCCTTCACGGACGCTGTGACGGAGGCAAAGACGGAGTTGGTGCTGAGAAAGTGGGCAGGGTAGTGGAAGCCCTGCTCTGACTGTGGCCGCAGCATGGACAGGACCTTGGAGGTTAGCAGCTCGTTATTCAGAAAGACATTCTCTCTCCGAGGGAAGGAACCATAGAAGGACAGCTCGGGCCGGTGCAGCCCACTGTCCCTGCCGCCGCCTCTGGAATGCGCGTTCCCCATGCTGGCGGCCGGGGCTGCGGGACCCTTGCAGTTTTATGCCTCCGTGAGATCCTTCTAGAAATGTGAAGTGGCGCCTGCTCTTACTGTATTGGCCGCAGCAGCCGCTCTGGAAACAGGAAATTGGTCCCTACTGTGACCGTTTAGGGTGCAAATCGCACCGCATTTTTCCTTTGGTAGAATAACAGCTACAAAGCATCCTCCATCTCAGCGGGGAGTCAACAGCAGAGAGCAGGTCTGTTCACTGTAGAGAAGCTAAGATCATGAAACAGGGAGCTCCGTGCTCCTGTGACTGTGCTGACATCACACACACACACACACACACACACACACACACACACACGGCTCCGTGCTCCTGTGGCTGTGCTGACATCACACACACACACACACACACACACACACACACACACGGCTCCGTGCTCCTGTGGCTGTGCTGACATCACACACACACAAACACACACACACACACACACACACACACACACACACACACACGGCTCCGTGCTCCTGTGGCTGTGCTGACATCACACACACACACACACACACACACACACACACACACGGCTCCGTGCTCCTGTGGCTGTGCTGACATCACACACACACTCACTCTGAGGCTGAGACCACCACGGTTCATAAGAATTCTGGTAGAATCTAACCACCAAAGTAGCCGGCAGGCTGACCCTATTCCATAGGGTGACTGTACACCAACCTAACGTGCAGCAGGGGACCAAAGCGCTGTCCACTCTCCTCTGCTCATTAATGAGAACTGAGCTACTAGGAAGCACCTACCCTGGTGATTACCTTCCCACTGATGGAAGCAACTCTCTGAGAACCAAGCTATCATTAACGAGGCTGGTTTCCCCTTCCTAGTTAACAGGTCAACCATTTAACTCAAGCCTTGAGTAGGCTGCTTGGTTAATTTATTCTCAGGGTGAAAGCCACATTGGAAAGCTTTGCTCCAAGATCAACAGCAGCATAAAAGGAAATCTGCCTGGTGGTGTTCCCGACCGGCTCTGGGTCCCCATCAAGGTTTCTGGGAGAAAGTGGCTGCAGCGCTGACCTCACGAGGGGTGGGCGCAGGGCTGGTCCTAGAGGAAACTACTTCTTTCAAAAGCTTTATGAGTGGGTGAGGGCTCAGCTTGCTGGGTGAGTTTTAGTTTTGGTGGAAATTCAGGGAGCTTGCCAGTGTGCAGGCGGGCATGTGTCCAGGGGAAAGTTCTGGTAGAGGAGGAATGAGAAAGCTCGCACATGCACAGAAAGCGTACTGTCCCACTACTCACTTTTTAACGAGCTCAGCCTGGTGAGGATACCACCAGGCAGTGACATCAGAGTGACATCCCTAAACACAGTGACATCACCATCAGCAGCAGCTGGCGATCACCAGGAAACCGAGGCCCTGGGGCCCAGGGCAGGCAATGCTGCCATTTCTGCACCACATTAACTCCACCCAGGCCCTCAGGACCTTCTCGTACAAACACGAGGCAGATCCTGAAATGCACCCTTTGCCTCGCATCCTGGTGGCCTGACACATTGTTCCTGTGACCCCCAGGTGTTGCCTGAAGTGGGATGGATTCTATCTTAATCAAATAGTCCATAGAAGAAAAACTTTCTCTACAAATCACTGGTTCAAGAGGTTGTTCAAAGGTCAACTGTGCTTGTTTATTCTGATCAGTCTGCTTCCCCAATTGAATGAAGGACATGGCTCCTACAAAACAGGTAAAGGAATTGTTTTTTCATGAAATGCTATTCAGTCATAAAAAAGAAGGACATTCTGACACACCCTACATCGATGAACCTTGAGGCCATCACACTCAGGGAAATAAGCCAGCCATAAAAGGACAGGTATTGCTGGGTTCTACTCATCCGAGTTCCTACAGCAACCATTTTCAATCAGCGGGACAGAAGAATTTTAAAAACATGCAATACCTGACTAATTAGTCAGGAGCACTGGCTAAATAAAAAAGTGACAATGGCCCTAACTGGTTTGGCTCAGTGGATAGAGCATCAGCCTGCGGACTCAAGGGTCCCAGGTTCCATTCTGGCCAAGGTCATGTACCCTGGTTGCGGGCACATCCCCAGTAGGGGGTGTGCAGAAGGCAGCTGATTGATGTTTCTTTCTCATCGATGTTTCTAATTCTCTCTCCCTCTCCCTTCCTCCCTGTATATAAAAAAAAAATCAATAAAAAAATACATATATTTATATTTAAAAGTGACAATAACCAATACAATAGTACCTATCTGGTGCGAATGAATAAAAACTATATATTTTTTTGTCAGATTGGCAAAATGTATATATTTTTTGTGCCACAGGATTACAGTAATTAGCTTATCTGTGCCACGAGATGAAAAAGTCTGCAAATCCCTATCCTGGAGGAGTCAGACCACGGAGACAGAAAGTGGACGATGGGAGCCACGGGCTGGGGAAGGGGGGCCAAGCTGGTGTTTAATGGGGACAGCGTTCCAGTTTGGGAAGATGAGAAAGTTCTGGACATGAACAGCGGGATGGTTGTATGACAATGTACTAATACTAACGAACTGTACCTATGTATATTTTATCACTATTAAAAAAAAGAAATGATTGTTTCTTTGGGGTGCTGGAATGCTTCTTTATTTTGGCTGTGAGGTTGGTTACTTAAATCTATACATGGGAGAAATTTTCATAGAACTATATACTCATTTTTCCCCCCACAAGAGTACATGTAACAACTGGCAAAATAAATAGAGTCTATCCTCAAGTTAACATTGAACCAATATCAGTGTCCTGGTTTTGACAATGGATTATAGTTACATTAGATTATCACTGGGAGACACTTGGTGGTGGGTGCACAGAGACTCTACTATTTTGCAACTTCTTTGACTCTTAAACTATTTCAAAATAAAAAGTTACAATTGAGTCCAGCAGTGTGGCTCAGTTGGTTGAGCATCATCCCAGGCACCAAGAGGTTGCCGGTTCAATTCCAGGTCAGGGCACAGGCCTGGTTGTGGGCACAATCCCCAGGATGGAATGTGCAGGAGGCAGTTGAGGAAAGTTTCTGTCATCGATGTTTCCATCTCTGTCTCCCTTTTCCTTCCTATCTCTCTCTAAAACCAATAAAAAAGTATTTTTAAAAAGTTACAGTTGATTCTAATTATTCACAATAACGATGTTCTAAAAAGTCACAGTGGACGCTGAATTAGGGAATACTGAACCTAGCACTGCTCACAGGAGAAATACAGGTTAGGGCTCTATCAGTGTTTAGCTACACTTTTTCATCAGCCACTCAATACATCACCTTGTATTATATGTGTTTCTGTTAAATGACACCTTGTTTTTAAATACGTTTTTATTGATTTTAAAGAGAGAGGGAGAAGAACAGAGAAAAACATCGACGAGAGACAAACATCGATCGGCTGCCTCCTGCACACCCCTTATTGGGGATCAAACCCACAACCTGGGCAGGTGCCCTGACTGGGAATTGAACTGATGACCTCTTGGTTCATGGGTTGATGCTCAACCACTGAGTCACACTGGCCGGGCTAAATGACACCTTATTCAAACACAACGTCAATCTATTAGCACTGAACTTATGCCCAACAACACTGTACCTCATGTCTATAAATTTCTACATAAGACACCCTGCAGTGTTCTTGTGCTCAGGAACACTAGACAGTACTGCTCACAGGACATTTTAAACAGTGAGATCACCGCCAAGAGTACAAAGTGAGGGAAATACCCGCATTAAATACACTGCACAAAGGGCACTTGTTACAGCATGAACTGCCACAGGGAAGCAAAGTGTTGCCTGTTCCATCTTCGCTGGGAATATGCACATTGGGCAACTCATTTAAAAAAAATGTTTTTCTTGATTTCAGAGGGAGGAAGGAGAGGGCGAGAGATAGAAACAACCAATGATGAAAGAGAACCACCAATCAGCTGCCTCCCACATGCTCCTCATTGGGAATTGAGCCCACAACCAGGGCATGTGCCCAGACTGGGAAGCTCCTGGTTCATTGGTTGATGCTCAGCCAATGGACCACACTAGCCAGGCTGGGCGACTCAATTTTTGGCTGTTCTGCAAGTCTGCAAAAGACTTTTTCCCCTTCTCCCCCCTGGTATCAATTTGGGGGTTACAAATACATTTCAGCAAATAAGTGAATTCATAAGTACAGAATCTGTGAATAATAAAGATTGACTAAATTGTGTTAAGTGAGAAGTTATATTTTAGAACACTTGTATTTGCACACACCATAGAGCACGGATTTCTTTATAATTCATTATACATACACTTTCAAAAAGTATATGAGATGGCCTTTTATTTGGGGGGAACTTTATATATTTATCTGATTTTTCACAGAGAGGAAGGGAGAGAGATAGAGAGCTAGAAACATCGATGAGAGAGAAACATCAATCAGCTGCCTCCTGCTCACCCCCTACTGGGAATGTGCCCACAACCAAGGTACATGCCCTTGACCAGAATCAAACCTGAGACCTTTCAATCCACAGGTCAACGCTCTATCCACTGAGCCACTGTTTTGGCTTCGGAGGAACTTCTTACAGAAAAGTTTAATGATGCTCATTTGGTGGCAACATAACTTACTGAAATAAATTATTCTTTTTCCTCTGCAGCAGTCTAACCATCACACCACTCAAGCTACTTAAGACTTTTATTTTTTTATTTAAAAAATATATATATTTTATTGATTCTTTACAGAGAAGAAGGGAGAGGGACAGAGAGCCGGAAACATCGATGAGAGAGAATCATCGACCAGCTGCCTCCTGCACCACCCCCCTTCTCCACTGGGGATG